CTCATACGCTCATCTAGCTATCTTTACTGGAATTGGACTTCCACCTTCAACAGCTGGCAATTTGTATGTAGTCGGAAATATTGTCTGCACAATGCAGGGTTATCTGCAGGCATCCGAGCAGGCCAAAGGACTCTGGTCTCTCGCTTAGGTCTGTTTGCAACTGATATCGACTCAGGTTTTCCTTACGCAATCTCGCTTGGAACTGGGGGAGAATCGAATGCTGGAAGGACTCGTAGGGATTGACTTGCTAGGTAGGTTGTCCCTTCCAATACCCCATCCCCATTGGTGTTGTTTTCGTAGAAATATGTAGATGGACTCCGTACAGTGGTCACTCTCTCCCCTCGGACTTGCATAGACCCCATGCTATAATAATAGCATCTTAAGGCTCTGGTACACTGGTACTCCGACTCCCGAGCAGTCTTTCTCTTCTTACTCGTCCACAAGCTGCCCTGACAGCGACCAGGGGCAGCGCCAATAAGCGCCACTGAAGAATGAACCTGACTTGATGTACGTACCACAGCAAAGACTGCCCTCTTTCATCTTTCACCCTAACTCTTCTCTCGGGGTTTGTGCAGTCATTCGTCGAGTAGAGGTTGATGTCTCCGAGAATCGCATGCCTAGAAGGGTGCAACCGGCGCACACTCTTGAATCTGATCAGCTTGTCAGGCCCTACCTAATTGCTGGAATTGCCTATAACATGCAATGCATAAGATTCAGCACGGAACATCGCAATAAACTACACTTCTCATCTACCTCAGATACCGGCGAAAAAATAATCTACGGCGTATGTTAATTAAACTATCATATGGGAACCGGGAAGATGGGGTGGCATTCACTCAAGCTCATTTTTGAGACACGTAAATTTGGTCCGTGTGCAGTTTGGCCGTACCACGCGTATAAGGCTGCAATTACATGGGTTTTTGATCTGTCCATGGGTCTTTAGTGAAGACTGGATTAAACATTCTCCCTTACTATGGGCCTCGCAAACGGAAGCTTACACGCCCCGTATGAAGTCCCGAAGTCTAAGGTGATATCTCTGCCGCCCTCTTTGCCTTTATTCCACTGCAAGTTGGGCTCGAGAGCCAGAGCACAGTCGATCATATATAAGCTACCCATTGCGGACCAACTCGAACATGAACGAGTTGTTTCTAGTCCGGTTTGGAATCAGAATATCGTTGTTCAAGTCCGAGTCGCGGTGTTGAATATCTCGTACATCAACGGGACCGATCTGCGCAACCGAAAGATTGACCGGCAAAACGGCGAAGCTTAATTACAGTGCCCTCTGATTTGACCATCTGAGTTAGCGGCCATTTCCGAGATATGGTAGATCGTTGCGAACCCATTTGTCTTCCTTGCACGGCCCTTCATTTGCATGTGTTGATACTTAGGCACCATGACTTGGTATAACTACATCACGCGCGGCGGACAAAGGACCTTACCATGTTAGTTAGTCGATACCTTAGGTATACCTAGCGAGACCGTCATCATGCAGCACCGCCTTGTGATCATTGGCGCTCTAAGATTATGTAAAACTCCGGCTTCTCGGTCACCCCCAGGGTTAGGTACCCACTCCCCTGACTCGGCCGAAGCGAACATTTACAGTGCAAACTGCTGGAAAAGGGGCGAGGATGTACGGAGTACACAGTACACAGTAGGAGTACCGTGCTGCTGAGGTCCGATCCCGTCCAGTATTCAGAGGAAATCTACTTTTGCAAGAGCTCATGACATCAAAGCGTTGTCATTGCCCGGGATCGGTGGCAAGAGACCCTTTCACTGACCCTCCCAGAAAGAATTCTCCGATGACCCAGAGGCGGAGGCTGATTGCTCAATTGGGAGATCACCGAAGTCCAAGGTCCAGCTAGAAGGTGATTTGGTCTAAAATCCCCCGGCAGTGCAAAAAGGGGACAGTACGTATACTCTTCGGGTGCGCGGATAGTTACTTCAAAGTGATATCCCGACGAGGAGCGAAAACGCGAGATGAGGGAAAGGGCGTACGGAGAAGAAAAGCCCTTTGTGCAAGGCGACATACTCCGTACTGCTATCTGCTATGATGATGTGAAGTATCCTCCCAACCAACCCCCGCCCAGCGTATGGAGCAGTGGACTGACTAGTACTGGTAGGCTTCTAGACCTTAGAAAGTCGCTGCTACTAGTTCCGATTCGGCAATTGTACCTGATTCCGTCCGGTTCTTGGCGGGTGGTACTGGAATCATAAATTACCACCGTCGATAAACTAAACAATTAGTATGGGTACGGTACCCATTCTCAGAATCGTACTGTGTACATACTCAGTATGTACTTACTGTCAGTGTCAACACTGCTCAACTCATCCAATCTCGTTTGATCGTCCCATCCGGAAACCATCTAGAAGAGTCGGGCGCCATCGTATCTGCGTTAAGAGCATCTCGCGGCTGTCGCGATGAGGCTCGCCGTCGGGCTTTGGAAGCTGAGCCTACAATGATCTGAATAGAGTAAAGGCCAACGCTTGGTCCTTGTCCGTTCTCGATTTAGGCCATTGACTGATCCAAAAGATGTGACTTGAGGACGTGTGGGGATGTCGAGGCGTATCTATTGTCACTCGTTAGACTTGCTCTGAGCGATATATCAGGTGGGTAGACTTAACCTGGATGCGCTATACAGGAACTCGCATGCATTCGTCATGAGAGACACTACCAGAGCCATCTTGCTACGATATTCCCATATGCGAGAGTGCCTTAGGCCAGTGTGATAAGGCCTCTCTGGCTTGTTTTCCTTCAAGTAGATATTACTATTGATCTGCGTTTCAGACGAACAATAGGACGTAGGCCGGTCCGTATCCATCTTGGCCTGGCTGGGCCGTGGCCAAGCAAGGCGATTTGGAGAGGACGAATAACCTCAAAGGAAGTTCCGGATATATCGGCCTGGGGGGGCTGATCAGCGCTATTGTTGCGTTGCGTTGCCCTTTCGTGTAAACCTCGGGCGTTGTGGGATTGAGTAGCTTCGACCACCACGGCTGGTGATCCGGCAAGTTGACCCGTGAACTAGTTATTCGTTACTTCGTAGTTTTCTCCGTCCATCTAGACCATGAATCATGTCGGCTCACACAATCTTGACACAAAGTATAGGATGAACCGATCACTCAAGACACTAAGGTGTAAACTTACTTCGTGGTTTTTGCGCCCGCTGTGATTTGTCGCCGAACACCGCGATAGAAGGTCCGATACTATTTACTCGACTATCAGAAGCCTGAAAAAACCAAAGTGGCCTGAGTCTGTTTCTTGGTGGAGGTGGAGCCCTGAGACGAAAAAGTGCATGCAGGCAAGTTAGTAGGTGAGATGAATCCGTAGACACGTTCTAGTATGAGCTACACAGTAGGATGGGGTGGGTGGTGCCCGGCTCAGAATTGGGTTGGTTACATGCAGAATCTGAAACGACGACAAGCAGTGATTGACGAAGTCCCTCTCTTTTCCTCTCTCTCTCTCTCTCTCTCTCCTCTCTCCATCTCGGCATTTCACACATGGCCCGGGCTTTTTACCCAGTTAGTGACAAGGTGACTGACTAATGAAACAATTCCCCAGCCTCAAGCATTGACGGAACAAATCACATCGACAGGTACCTGACGAGTAGCTTAAGTGACCCCGTTCCCCTTCAACGCCCGCCCACGGTTTAATCTGTACGGTGACGGGAGAGAAAAAACTCCCACTCTCTTTCATCACTCCCCAACGCACTAAACCTATTATTATCAGGTCACTCATGCAGGTACCCAGGTACCCCGGCACAGTGGGTTGAAAGGGAACAGAACTGCTTGTTCTTGGTGGAGCCCCCAGGAACAATGATCCATTCGCTTGCTCGTAACCATTGAACCGCAAAACTCAATCATATCATCGGATGTTCGATTTCCCCCTAATTCCGTCTAGCCCTGAAGCTCTTCCGAGCAAGGGAAATCGGCGAAGAAAATAGGGGCAAAAGGCCCCAGTCGAGCTACAAGCTAAGACTAATGTGGAACCAAACATGAAAAACGAATGCACAAAAAGAAGAAAGAAAGATATAAACCAACTATCGAAGGCAGAGAGGGGGAAAGAAAAACAAGGAAGTTAAAACTGAGGTACTAACTTATCCAAGAGGCTCAAGAGAACTTCCTTCTTATCATGGTAGTAGTCCATACATTCAACTATCATACAAGTCTCCGTAGAAATCAAAGCAATTCAGGTCATTTACTTAGTCTGGCCTTCTTCAAGCAGGACGCGTCGCTTTGAACCGCACCAAACCGCTAACCACCAAATTTCCACACGCTCTGGTTCTATTTTTATAGGTGATAAGGAACTCAGGATTGATCAAGGGATGGCCATGCCTCAAGTGCATCTCAAATGGCGCTATGGAACGAGCTGTAGCCAACCACTACAATTGATTCTTGTTATTTCTCCAGACTCCATGCATATCCAAACCCCAAAACATGCTAAACGAAGCGATCTGTCTCAGGTTCGGGGGTCTCCCCTTCTCAAACGTTAGCTCGACTCGGAGAATTCACCACATTTGGAACAATTCCACGCTAAAGGTACGTGCTTCGCAGCCCCGGTTGAAGGGTTGGCAGAATAAGGTTTGCGCAATCAAGTTGGAAGTCCTATACTAGTACTTCATGAACTCAACAACGCAAGATGGAGTTCCGCACCATCCAAGTGCATCCGATACGAGAGGAGTCGTGGTGAGAACTCTGTCTATCTCCCAACTTGGCACGAGTCAGGGATACTCGAAACATCCTATCACACTGTCGGTGGGGGCGCTCGTGTTCGCGAAAAGGGGTCAAGGCGAACTGGTGAAACAGATTGACAGTTCGAGGCCACTCGAATGATGACCAGCAACTACAGCCCCTCTCTTCACAAGATCACTATCGAGGCAAACATGCACCCTGAGCTAAAGGCTCGATGAACAACAGTGGCATGGTTTGAGCGCAAAAGAGGCGAGGAAACGCAGGCGCGATGCATGTCACCCTTAGTTGTCAGGTGTCATGGATCAACATTGCGACTAGCGACGTCCTCTGCCTCTGCCTCTGCCTCTGCCTCTGCCTCTGCTGCCGCCCCTGCCTCTGCTTGACCGTCCCGATCCCTGGATAGCGGCTACGTCATGTTTGCTCAGGTTCAAGGTTCCGCCTGCGAACTTTCCGATGGAAGGCCCTCCAACACCACGTTCTCGCCTTTTGGAGCTGTTGGCATTCGCCTTGGGTGTCGGCTTCTCAAGGATAATTCCATTTTCCCTGGCTTCCTTCCGACGCTTGTTCTCCTTCATTTCAGCCTTAGCTTGGATGCCTCTCCTATGAGAAGAAGGCATCCTTTGCTTGTATAGGGATTCTTTAGACCCCAGTTCCTGCATCCGCAAATCGAGAGCCTTGAGACGATTCTTGCCCGTCGGAGCAAGATCGGACGCGGACTCGAGAAGATGGGATTCTTTGAGAAGACGTTGTAGAGCAAGATCATTTTTTAAATGATCCGCATCAATCTCATTTTCATCCTTGTCACTTTCGGTCTCTCTCTTCGGCGATTTAGCTGGGGTCCGGTCGACGAGGGAAGATGGCGGTTTGGCAGTCTGCATCAGCGTTAGGATACTTGAGAGCAATAACGGATGGAAAAAGATTACTAGTGTTTCCTACCATAAATGCCTTGCGAGCTTTCTTGTCCATCAAATCCAGAGATTTTGCATCGCAATGCTCGACTATCTGAACCACCTCCGGTCCATCTTCACCTTCGCTCAAACCGTCCCAATTCGACCCAGTGTCAGAAAGCTCCGAGGCCTCCTCGTCGCTCTCCCCTTCGGCGTCATCGCGGCGGGTAATCTGCGCCCCAGGGACATCCAGCGGCTGGAATTGGGCTTCAAAGAATTTGCGAAAAATATCATGAGAAGACTCGGTATTTGTCTGCGGCGTCTCTTCATCGTCAAAAGTTGTAGCTCTCGGCACAATAGCTGTATCTCTCTTCCTTTTTCCAATCATCTCTATAAGCCCTTGTTCTGCTCGTGGGGTCGCAGTGAGGATTCGACTCCTTATCAAGATGTAGAATCAGAAAAAGTCCATTTGACAAACGAGACTAACCGGGTTCTTGCTTATGTCATCTGTTATCGCGGTAACTTAACTTAGATCACGTGTGATAAGATAGGCTCAACCCCTCGTCGGATTTCCACATGAGCCGCAGCGGCCGTCACAAGAAGGCATTGAACAAGCATTGAACAAGCATTGAGCTAGACAAAATGACCAAATTCCGTCCATGCATTGATCTTCACTCGGGTCAAGTCAAGCAAATTGTGGGGGGGACTCTTAGTGATGTGGCCGCCGATCTGAAGACAAATTATGTCTCCAAGCTGCCTGCCAGTCACTATGCTGAATTATATCGAAAGCACGATTTGCGTGGGGGGCACGTCGTGATGCTGGGCCCAGGCAATGATGAAGCAGCGCATGAGGCACTTCGAACTTGGCCGAATGGACTACAAGTGGCGGGAGGAATCACGGATAAGAATGCTCAATACTGGATTGATCAGGGTGCCGAGAAGGTGAGCTCTATACTTGCAGTTTCCGCCTAACAAAGTGGAACCAATTTGCAGTGCTGTGCCCTTTGGTTCTGCATCGCTCATGACACTATGGAACACTATAAATCACATGTCCCTTTCACGGTTATTCCCTGATCTCTTTAGAATTCCTTCAAACATCTGCGCTGGCAATTTGCTGTGTCTTGACCTTTTCATGACTAACCTGCACTCGCAGGTGATCATCACCTCGTTCCTCTTCCCAGAGGGAAAGTTCTCCAAAGAACGACTTGAGTCCGTTCTCTCTGCGCTTGGGGGCGATCGGTCAAAGCTGGTCTTGGATTTGAGTTGCCGTAGAAAGGACAACACATGGTTCGTAGCTATGAATCGCTGGCAGACCATTACCGAGATGGAAATCAATCAAGGCAAGTCTTCTCCCTTTGATCACGTCAAGCTGCTCTTCCTTGCTTGCTCTTGTTGTGAATGGCAACAGCTGAGCAGGTACTGAGCATGGTTCGTGATCGCAATCTCGGACGCTCGGTTGTCTCTGTCTGGGGTCAAGCTTCGAAGCTAACTGAAACAGAGTCAATCTCGATGCTAGAGCCTTACTGCTCTGAATTCCTTATTCATGCCGCAGATGTAGAGGGGCTGCAGCAGGGTGTTGACGAAGATCTCATTGCCAGGTTAGCCCAGTGGTGCACAATTCCCGTGACCTATGCTGGTGGCGCTCGAAGCTTGCAGGATCTGGAAATGGTTCATGCCAGCAGTCAAGGGAAAGTTGATTTGACTATTGGTAGTGCTTTGGATATTTTTGGGGGTTGCGGGGTAACTTTTGCTGAGTGTATAGAGTGGAACGGGTCACATTAAATACAATTTACTAAAAGGAGGCATGTCATTTTCTAGTCAGATCGAGTCATTGGGGATACGTTTCTAGACAAGGCAGCTCGACTGTGGAGGTATAAGTTCACAAAAGTTGATACCACAATCGAAATCCTGTTCACCCTGACACGGTACTATACATAGAGTATGCGGAGATTATAGTCCATATACTCACTGAATTCTCCCATCGTATTAATTCTCCTTTAATGATTATAATGGAAGAAGAAACAAAAAACAAGGTAAATCGACCTATACTCCGTATATTTGTTCTCTGGAATGACGCGGCTACTAACGATTTGCAGGAGACCATTAACGCCGAATGCGGCTTAGTGCCGAGCTCCTTCACCCGCACCGCTTGAGATCCTCGACATCAGAGCTTCTACGGAACCTCAGTCTGCACCGCAGTCAATCCACTCTCCTTATCTGTACACGTCTTATTTATCTTTCAAGATCAACTCATATACAATACAGAATACCTACAGTGCCCAGCTCTCATACAGCCGAACCCGCCTGCTCAACCTCATTCGTATCGTCAGCCTACGGTTATCGCCCATTCCACCCTCAACCCACAAGATGAAGCCTGTTGTGTCTCTCCTGAACGCATGGTCCTGGTAAAGACAGATTCCTAGCAATTATCACAGTAGATTTATCCTATAGACTAACATATTTCTCCTTAGTGTGGTCATTTCTCTCTTCGCAATCATCATTCTCTCAGTCCTCGGGTCACTATTCCAAGTATGACATCTTCACATCCCACGAGACTCTCGCTCCCACGATCCATCCTGAACAAACCGCTAACCAGACGGCTTTGAAAAACAGCGGGAACACCACAGCTTCACTGGCGGCGAAGAAGAACCGGAGAATGGCGCCGCCGTCGCCGCCTCCATCTACACCGCTGTCCTTGTATACCTCGTACGTCCACCTTCCACCAGTTCCGACTACCGGGGAAATGAAACCCTGCCATGGCACATGCTAACATTCGGTATCATTTTTCTCTCTGCACAGGCATTCTTTGTTTTTTGCGCTTTCCAGGCCTATCTGCACACGAGAAGCCGCAGGGGCGGTGCTATATCCTTGAGCTAAATCAGGACTCACTCCTTTCCAAACTCCTGCTTGCCTTGCGTGCACCACAGCCTATCCCACCTCGCGACCGGTTTAGGCTTTTATATTCTGGAACGAACGCCATCCGATCGTGTGCGGGTCTTCACCGTTTTGCTCCGGAGCTCGAGGATTAATGGTCTTATGATTAAGGCGCTGGCGGCTGCATCTTTCGACCCCCTCTTCAAACAGTTGCGCGCTGTGTACACTTTAATCCCTGTCATGTTATATATGCAGACAGCCACCTATCTTGCATTACAGGGATAGAAAATGTTTTTTTTTTTTTTGCCCGACAATGAAGCAATCAGATCCTCCGTCCGCTTGCCCTCCCGAGCATGTATCCGATCCTCCTCACTCTTTGGTGATTGAAATTGTTCGTTCTTCATTCTTAATAGACCAATGAAGATGATGTATGCCGTGTTTGTATATATTATGCTAGTCCTCCAAAAGAGCGCCTTCGTTTTCTGCTTTGGTGTTTGCCATTTATGCCCTTACTCATGTATCTCTTCCGCGCCCTATACGCCCACACAATGAACATTTATATTTGGATTCCGTTCCCGAACACCGCACAATCATCATAATTCGTATAGAAATAGATCTCAAAACCACCTATTCTCGGCTTATTATATACAGCACATTCTATAAGTCATTGCCATCTTCGTAAGCAAGTAAGCCGGCCATTCCCGTCGCTGTGATAATCGGACAAAAGGAAGAGAATATATGTACTCCGTAGAAAAGGAAAAAAGTGCATAGCCGCCGCAAAGTGCTTTTGTTTAAACCGACACTCCATGAAACGCCCCTATGCGCACATCAACCCATCCATGGTCGAGATATAATAAGCACTTTTTGACAAATACCACAAAAAAAAAAGCGGAGTCTTCTTGAATCGAAACGCATTATGAGATTACAAATTAATCAGAGTTACCACCCGGGTACTGACTCCTTTATATCTCAAAACAAATCTTCGTCTTCAGTAGGGTCCAGCATCTTGGACATATACGGCCCATCCAGAGAGTAGCCGAGACGGGCGTAATAGCTGCGGACGCCTACTCCGGAAATGACGCTGATCTTCTGACTGCCGTGCTCCTCGCGGGCAATTCGCTCAGCCTCTTCCATGAGCAAGGTGCCGAATCCGCGGTGCTGGAACTTGCGCGGATCACGGCCGTGGAGGGGCACGGCGGAGCCGTAGACGTGCAGTTCCCGGACAATACTGGTCTGTTGACCAGTAAACTCGGGCCGGAAGGTGTGCGTAGCGCTACACTTACGGAGACGTAGGAGACCAATCAGAATGTCTTGCTTGGGGTCCTCGTAGGCCAGGAAGGTCTCCCAGCCTCCGTTGGCGTAATAATCGCGACGAACCAGCTCCACTTGCGAAGGTCGAATCTTGTTCTTGACTTCATTGATGCCCACCTCTCGGGTCCGAACATCGCGACAGGTTGTTCCAAAATCCTTCATGCGGGCCAAAGCGAGCTCCCGCAGGTTGCCGTTCTCGACACCGGAGGTGACGAGCGGCATGGGGATATCTCGCTGGACACGGTAGATACGGGTCCACGGAGGGACCAGAGCGAGAATGCGGGCAACGAGGTCGATCAGCGCGTTCGGGGTATAGTTCTTGTACCGACCAGTTCTCCATAGCTCGTAAAGACCAGTTCCACGGATGACGAGGGTGGGATAAAGCTTCAGACCGTCTGTTCGGAAGGCGGGATTTTCAAAGTATTCCTGGAACTGGAAGAGATCGCGCTCCATGCCCACGTTGGGAAGGTCGGGCATCATATGACTGACCACCTTGAAGCCGGCATCTTTCGCGAGCTTGAAAGTTTCCGCCACTGCGGCGACAGTGTGGCCTCTGTTCGTGTCTCGAGCAACATCTTCGTACAAACTCTGGACTCCAATCTCCAATCGCGTGCATCCATACCGGAGCATGCTGCTCAGATGGGTGTCCAAACAGTAATCTGGACGGGTCTCGATGGTGATACCAACGCATTTAATGTTACTCATCTCGCCAGCCTGCACCGCTTCGTCGACGTTGTCGGTTTGGTAGCCACTAAGGGCATTGTGGAGTTGAGCAACAAAAGTTTCTCGGTAGTCCTCCGGAAGCGACATGAATGTACCGCCCATGATGATATATTCTACCTTATCAACGCTGTGACCGAGAGACTTAATCTGATCCACGCGGCCTCGAGCCTGTTCGAAGGGATCATAACGGGCACGAATTGCACGCATGGAGGTGGGCTCGTAGCCAGTATAGGACTGCGTAGAATACTCGAAGTCGGAATCAGGACCACCAGGGCAGTAGACACAGATATTTCCCGTGTACGCGATATGGGGACAGCGGTGAGGTTTGCTCATGACCGCGACGACAGCGATACCGGAAGAAGTTCCTATCAATCATGGTTAGTCGATGCAGGCGATTTCCAAAGGCATAGGGAACCATACTAATAGGTTTTGCGATCAACTTGGGCAGAATATACTTCTTGTAGTGCTCGGGAACCGCAGCGATGATGGCCGTCAGTGGGGGTTGAGTGGATAAAGCATGCTTTTTGGCGATTTGACCCCGCAGCTTGTTGAGGTTGATATCTTTCCGCGGCTTGGTGGGATCCTTCTGTGATTCATGGTCCTGGATGAGGGCATTCGCAATATCGGAACAAGCTCGCATAAACCGTTCATTTTCCGAGGGCAGTTTGGCATTTTTCTTCGACTTCGCAGGTGGCGGCATCGTCATGGTGAGGGTCGCCATTGTTGTTTGGGGGGAGAGATGCGGGCGACGGGTCGCCAAGTGGGAATTTCCAGAGGGATGGGGTAATACTATATTCTCTTTTCTCGAAATTAGATGCGACCGAGCACTGATATGCGCGTGGGGGTAGAATGAGAGTTGGTAGACAATAGACTAATAGTAATAGGACGACGACCTGGTGACCCCCGGGAATGGCACGCGGCAAGCAATTGTAGCTGAAGAAAAAAAGCGGGAGTGATCCGAGGGAAGTTTTGGGGAGGGAAAAGAGGCAACTGACCGCCCGTGACAATTCGGATCCCGCTTAAAGCTTTGTCCCGAAAGTTCCCAAATCATCGCGTTTCTGACGGCCTCTTCCTGTCTTCTGCTTGATACTCTCTGTATTCTTTCCCCCTTCTTACCTCCCCTTTCTTTTCCTTAAACTCGTTAGGTGCTTCTCTTTGTTCTCTCTCGCGCTCCCCTCCTCTCCTCTCATTTCCTCCCCCCCCCAAAAGCCAAAATGCAGGCCTTCCGCCGTAACACCGCTTCTGCTCTTCGCAATGCTGCTGCCACGCAGCGCCGGGGATACGCAGCTTCGGCTAGCCCGATCTACTCTGAAACTGTGAACAACCTTCGCATTAACTCGGAGACCAAGGTGATCTTCCAGGGGTTCACTGGAAAGCAGGGAACGTATGTATCTCTGCCTATAGTGAAAAGATTATCAAGCATATATCGCTGACGTTGCGTTTTTCCCGTCCGCATGCAGTTTCCACGCCGAGCAAGCTATCGCCTACGGTACAGCTCCCTCCTCATCTTTGCAGGCGCCAAGCGGATTAGAGCTCTCTAGCACCCATATACGAGAAACTTACATCTGCTAGGTACCAAGGTCGTTGGTGGAACCAACCCCAAGAAGGCCGGATCCCTGCACCTCGACAGACCCGTTTTCGCCAACGTGAGCGAGGCTGTGAAGGAGACTGGTGCTACCGCTACTGCACTTTTCGTTCCGTAAGGATCCGGTGATGAAATGTGGGTTCACATGCTTGGTGCTGATATTAGCTCCTAGTCCTCCATTGGCTGCTAAGGGTATCGAGGAGGCCATCGAGGCCGAAATCCCTCTGGCTGTCTGGTATGTATCTTGTTGATCGTCAGGCAAGTGGGATGGCGCTGATCATTGCACAGTATCACCGAGGGTATTCCCCAGCACGGTATGTTTCTTGGAAATCGCCTGAGACAAGGATTCCTGTTCCGGACGGATAACTGATAAAGGGGCGGTGTCTAGACATGGTTCGTATCACGGACATCCTGAAGACGCAGAACAAGACCCGTCTGGTGGGTCCTAACTGCCCTGGTATCATCGCTCCCGTAAGTGCCCAAACCACTAAAGATCCCTGCGCTCGGCAGATTCCTGGTAATAACATCTGGTGTCATTCGATGTGCTAGGGCCAATGCAAGATTGGCATTATGCCTGGATTCATCCACAAGCGTGGCCGTGTCGGTATTGTTTCCCGTTCCGGTACCCTGACCTACGAGGCCGTCAACCAGACCACCCAGGCTGGTTTGGGTCAGTCTTTGGTCGTTGGTATCGGTGGTGACCCCTTCTCCGGCACCAACTTCATCGACTGCTTGAAGATCTTCCTCGAGGACCCCGAGACTGATGGTATCATCATGATTGGTGAGATTGGTGGTAGCGCCGAGGAGGACGCCGCCGAGTTCCTCAAGGCGAACAACAAGTACAACAAGCCTGCTGTTGGCTTTATTGCCGGTATCAGTGCTCCCCCGGGCCGCCGCATGGGTCACGCCGGTGCCATTGTCAGCGGCGGTAAGGGTGGCGCTGACTCGAAGATCTCTGCCTTGGAGAAGGCTGGTGTCATTGTCGAGAGAAGTCCCGCTGCTCTTGGCAAGGCCTTATTGGCCGAATTTGTCAAGAGGGACCTGGTCTAGATTGAGTGATCCTCCCTCTGCATCAAGCGGCAATATGACATAACCCTACTGCTGTCTCTGGATGATAAGAGCGATTTTTTTTCTGTATCAATCAGGCAGACATATGGATGATGTCGTGCTTCCGCTCAACCTTTCCGTTTATCACTCAGACGACCTTTTTTCCTCCTTATTTGGCCGAGCCGTGGTGGCTGTTGTGTATTTTCTATCTTGATCTCTTATCCCCCTCGTCGATATATTTCCTTTGTTTAGAAGATGCAAGGCAATAATTAGGTCTGGTGTGTAAATTTGATTAATTACTCGCAGCCCCTCGTGCTTCCCACTACGATGGAGTAACTTACTCTATCTCCGCCAAGCAAGCAAGCATCGGCCAGGCCGGACAGCGGTTTTCTGACCCGGTCCTTGCCGTGTTGTGGGAACGTTGAATGTTCACGGCCTTCCAATTCACGGGCGTAGATGTGGCTCACAAAGGTGGTCAACTTCAACTTTTTTGAACACGCACAACTAGACCAAAAATCCATGTCATTCCCAAGTGCTCGAATCGCAATGTCAAGACTGCCTCCAAGAACCCGACTTGGGCTTGTCTTGTCACGGTGGATTCCCGAGAGCTGGATGTTCGGCTTCCTGCGCTTACTCCGGAGCTGAGTCCAAACACGAAGTACAGACGAGTAGACGCCATCGGCAGGCTTCAGCCTACCTCGACAGGAGCCGTGCTCGTGTTGCGCATTGGCCGAGTGAGATGATTTCTGCGGTTCAAAGGCAGGTTGTCGCTGTCCCCACAGTCCACCGGTTTTTGGACCGCCCGGCCTTGACATCGTATGAGGGTGTCGCTCGCGACTCGGGACTCACTTGCTTCTTGACCTCGATTGATCCTTTGATGCATACGTACTTCACAGCTCTCTGCCCGAAGAAGAAGAGATTGACCTTGTTTACCAGGGTCCCTATGATGACGTTGGATCACAATGGAAGCACGGGTGGAGGTGGTGGAGGTGGTGGAGCCTTGGACCCTGGTCATCGATTGTGATACTACGAAAAAATGATGAATGGGGCCAAGGGAGGGAAGAGGGAGGGAGGGAGGGGAGACTGAGACTAGATTGATTGCATTTGCCCCTCTCGTTTCGAAGGTCTGCCGTGCAGCTGCAGCCAAGTCTCACCAGTGTGATGGGGCTGCCAGAAGCAGAGCTTGCAACTTGTCGTTGGTCGACTGAGCATTTGGAGTCCCATCGATTGGTTTCATTTGCAGAAGGCGATAACTTATAAAGCCCTTGCCGTGCTCTTCGGCAATTCGTCACTGACTCAGGGGAGTAAGGGCAATCCACCGGTGATTGACTTGAAGCAAGAAGACGTTGACAAAAAGACCGGTTGGATCACATTCGGTATGGCAATCAGTCGTCACTTAACGAGCGATCATGGCAGCGGCAACCTTGAATAAAAAAGGTCGTAGTCATTCAAGCGAACACCACCGCTTCCGTTCAATAATAGTATGTTGGGACACGGATTCTCTTGGCTTGCAGAGCTCAATCTTGGGACCTAGATGCTATAGTCTGATTGTGCTCGTGAAGATAGATGCGATTGTAGCCAAGAGTCACTTATGATGTGGTCGTGATAAGACCCGTAGCGCTAATTAGTCAATGCCAATGCGATGTAGTCCAAGGAAAGACGGTGCGTGATGTGTGAGTTGGAATATACTCTGGGCAGTACGGAGCTATCCACGGCATGGAAGCTACCATTAATATGGTTATTTCGAGCAAGCTACTCCGTCTATCGTCCTACATTGCCAGTCTAATACATACCGCGCATGATCTTGCCCAGGCCCAATTCAAATCAACGGAGTAAGTAATGATGATTTGAAGGTTGAAAGACACTAACTACTCCGTTAAGGTACTCCTCCGTCCTTCCTTCTCAGCCACCGCAAGCCAGCCGGGGGCTTGGCGCGGACGGTGTCGATCCCTTTTGATTTTTCTGACTCTCCACTTCTCTAAAGTTAACCTCGTTAATCGGTCGAACTAGTCATTGCACCATCCAATTAGTCTGGAGGATCACACCGTCTATCAATCTTTCCTCGCCCTGATCTTCTTCAACCTCCTGCTTCTGCTTCTGCTTCTTCCTCCCCTGTTCTGGCTCCTCCGGATCTACTTGTTCGCCAAGTCTGATCCAGTGGATAGGAGGTCCCCCCTCCCCGGGTCAGAGCTCGACAACTCCTTGATTCTCTACTAACTAACCGTCATAATTTATCCCTCTCTTGTCGCTCGTTCTTCCTGTCTCTCCCCTTAACCCCTCGGCTAGCTTACTATATTTAGTTCACATCACTTCCCTCGTCGATGTGATACCGGTTTTAGGCCTACTGATGGCGACCGAGACGATTTGCCTTCTTGGGGCAAGCCCAGGAGCGTCAACATCATCACATTGCTCCGCAATTGTCCCAATCGAGCAATGCACTATTTGTGATCTGTCTCCCTATCCTGCTCTGCTGTCAAGCTCCTTGCAATACATCATTTGCTACATCCATGGATGTACCAAATGTCCTCGTCATCACGGGCTATTATTGCATACGCCGCACTTGGCCCTGTCCATCCACTACTATCCTGTAGATCTCTATCGTTGACCAGCCCTGACTGTCAGATATCATCAAACCGCTTCCATCAGTCATTTGTCTCTACTGCCCCCTATTCAGGGTCACATAATTAAGCTTAAGGTCAAAACTAGGCGTTGGGCTCCATCCAGGCCGTGATTGCCGCTGAAAATCCACCAGAGCTGAATTCCAGACTACGGCGGGCAAAGCCCCATGGAAAGTAGATCTTCCAACATCTTAGCAACGGGTCTGCGGGGCCGGCCATCATGTCAAGGTTAAGGCAGCATCTCGGAGGCACTGGGCACCGGTTTTCGGGTTGGCTGGACTCTTGCGTCCCTCGCCCGCCCTCTACACTGGGTGCGAATGGTGCCGATGTAGATCCCCGAGATCCATGCAGATCCTCAGAATCAGAAGATTGCCAATTCATGGTCATATCGGTCTATTCTACAACTTCTCAACCTATGCCCATCCTTTCCAGTTCACGAAGAACAAGGCCAGCATGACAGAACACCTTAGATCATAACCAGACGCTTATACCTACGCATTGCTGATTTGAAGTCCTCTATCGGCAGAGAAATGCTGAACCGCCCATGACCTTGCCAAGGACAATCACGCCTCGAAGTGAATCCTGTATTATGAGCACACACGTGTAAGACTCCGAGTCCGTCGCTCGACAGTTTCGCCGAATGTGATCGTCCTTCGCCACAATGACCCGCCGGCTTTGATACCGCCGTCTCTCAATAGCCTGTTCAAACTTCTGAATACTTGCTTCGATCTTTCTAGCTCCTGCGATGCATGACAGATGCGCCGGGTTACTGAAACACACCAATCCAATGTTGCAGGTGGATTGCATTCGTCAGCTCCATGCTTCGGACGCTAATTGAGGGTCTCGGCAACCCTCAATGGCCTGCAAAGCTCATACTCCTGACCACTTGGCGTCACATCGACCCCGTCCCTCTCAAACCCTTGATGCTCCCACCTCCTATCTCCCATTACCATCGAGCTGCCCCAATGTGACCGAGGCTGCTGGGTGCCAAGGGAGACTGGCCGGAGACAGAGGGTCCCTCTAACTAGGGCCCTCGTGCATACGATAAGGCTTCTATTTGTTACCCACTTGACTTTCATATCCCGTCTAGGAAGGTCCTCGGATTGACCTCATCTACCAGGCCCGCTCCGCAGTGGAGATGTCGATTGCTTTCTCTTGTCGGAGTCCGAGCGTGTCTTTTCCGTGGCATTGATGAGTTGAAAACCTCCCGGGCATATAGTGCACTGGCCTCGCACATTGTCCGCTTGAAGAAACAATCTTCTTGCTCACCCAGTTTGGACTGGATATTCGCGTTTATCAAGTTGCTTCAGGTCTAGACCTGCAACCAAGTCATGAACATGTTCACTTTCAGGGATGAAACTGCAAAGACCCCAGAGCCCCAACTTGCCTCGATGGCTTCCTCAATGAATCAAGATTCGGAAAAGGGTTCAATCTCACAGGACCCATCCACCATTGAGGTTCAAGCATTGGAGTCTCCGCCCCATCATATCTTCACTCGATCTCGCAAGTTGCAGATGGTATGCATTGTATCCATGGCAGCTATCTTCTCTCCACTGTCTTCCAATATCTACTTCCCGGCCTTGGAAGACGTGTCGCGGGTAAGTCATACAAAGCATATTCCACACAGGGCTCGAAGCTTTCAAAGTGCCAGACACATTGACTGGATATGAAACAGTCACTCAATGTCAGCATGACGCAAGCGACTCTCACCATCACAATATACATGATTGTCCAAGGCCTCGCGCCGACCTTCTGGGGCTCGCTTTCAGATGCTACAGGGCGACGCCCTGTTTTCATTGGCACCTTTGTTGTCTACTTGGTAGCGAACATCGCACTCGCGGAGTCCAAGAATTATGGCGAGCTCATGGTGTTCCGCGCACTGCAGGCTGCTGGTAGTGCAGCCACCATCTCAATTGGTACGATTCAGATTTGGGCTTCAAGGCTGCCATAATCCTAACACTTATGCAGGGGCTGGAGTCATTGGTGACATCACCACTTCGGCAGAACGGGGTAGCTTGGTTGGCATTTTCGGTGGAGGTAAGGGAGTCCCCTTTTGCAGACACAAATGTACTGCGGTGGCATGTTGACTGACGCGTGTCATAGTCCGTATGCTTGGACAGGGAATTGGGCCGGTCTTCGGTGGCCTGCTGACCCAGTATCTAGGGTATAGGTCCATCTTTTGGTTCTTGACCATTCTTGGGGGCTTGAGTCTAGTCTCACTCCTGGTTCTGCTCCCAGAAACGCTGCGCCCCATCGCTGGCAATGGTACTGTGATGCTGCGTGGCCTTCACAAGCCTTTCATTTATCATTTTACAAGCCAACCCGGTGTTATTGAGGGTGCAGAACCAGAATCCCAAAAGGCGAAGGTGACCTGGCGGACCGTTTGTGCTCCGTTGAAGTTCTTGGTCGAAAGGGATGTCTTCATCACCCTCTTTTTCGGAAGTATAGTGTATACTGTCTGGAGCATGGTGACATCGAGCACCACAGATCTCTTCGGCGAGGTCTATGACTTGTCATCACTCGAGATAGGAATGACATTCTTGGGCAACGGTACGTCGAGTTCTCAGCAGACACGTCCAGGCATACGGTGTTGCTGATACCCAATGATTAGGCTTTGGATGTATGTCGGGGTCTTACCTGGTGGGGTATCTTATGGACTATAATCACCGCTTGACGGAGCGCGAATATTGTGAGAAGCATGGATATCCAGTAGGCACTCGAGTCAATCTCAAATCCCACTCGGACTTTCCGATTGAGGTTGCACGGATGCGGAATACCTGGTGGATAACTGGCATCTTCATCGTGACCACAGCGACCTATGGTGTGTCTCTCCGCACCCATATTGCCGTTCCCATCATCCTGCAATACTTCATCGCCTTCTGTGCGACGGGTATCTTCACCATCAACAGCGCGTTGGTCATTGATCTGTATCCCGGAGCTAGCGCCAGCGCAACGGCTGTGAACAACTTGATGCGATGTTTGATCGGGGCTGCCGGTGTGGCGGCTGTGCAACCCATCTTGGAAGCGCTGGGGGCAGATTATACATTTGTTCTACTTGCGGGCATTACCATGGGGATGGCTCCATTACTGTGGATCGAAGATCGATGGGGCCCCGGTTGGCGTCGCGCCAGAGAGCAAAGGCTCAAGGCACAAAAGCAGTAAGTAGACTGGCCGAATGCACGAGGCTTGAGAGGCGCTCGTTGGAGTTCTGGAGTTGCTTGGGGGGTTTATTTTGTGTTGATAATTACACCACGTGGGCGCACATGGCCTCCTCGATGGATTTTCTTGGACGGCGTTGTATAACTTGGCGAATAGCTTATAAAAATTGAAGAACATTCGGATATTTTATTTCTTGGGACGCAAGATGGACTATACAGTACAGAAGGTAAGTTAACTAGATTGAATGAGGTCATCAGCGTAACTAGTTAGTTACTATAGTTAAGGTTGGGCAGAGATTAGTCATCGGGTGCGGATGGACCATGGACAGCCATCACTTGTACTCCGTACATCCTCACCTCCTGTCCTGCAGAAAAGAATCGATACTATTATGTGCATGGACTAAAACCATCAGACGGTACGGGGGGCTGACGCTCATCTAACCCTATCGGACGCAAGGACTGAAGGTAAAATTGATTGCATTCTGCAGGGTGTTGTTTTGTTCGGCCGCGAAGAATGCACCTTAGCTAAGCCTCAGCAGACCACGTGACGGGGACCCAAACAATCCAGCTTTCCTCCCGTTGCTTGAGAGACGGATTTCTCTGTTTATTCCTCCTTCGACTTCGACTCTGCAAACGCGGCCACTATGAGCCTTCAATAGCCCCAGTTCTGCTGCTGCCCGACGACAACTTCTTGGATGCCTTGTTCATGACGGCGACGACGACAATAAGGTCAACATCCACCCTTCCGGCCTTTTCTCTTTACTGTACTTCTGCTGTGGCCGTGGATTCGTGCCGTTCAAGGGCAGTGGTTCCGTGGAGGATCAAAACAGACGCTATTGCCCGTGGTTACCGACCTCCCCCCCCCAGCAACTAGAAAGACGAGTATAGCAGTGTCGAAAATCTCAAGATATGCCTCCTGATATGGGTAAGAGATTGCCTGCCTCCCTGCATACGACCTGACCTGTCTACTGGGCCATGATCGTGGGGTATTCCTCTAGCGCCCGTTGTTGTCGCTGCTGCTTTATATGTTTTTCATGCTGACCGTGCAGGTACAGTGGGCCGAGCGACCTCACAGACGTCGAGTGTTGCTTCTCAGACCACCCAACTAGTAGCACCACTCAGCCGCCCTGGTACCGCTGATCTCATGCGATCACGATCGGAAACTGTAGTATCGAGAAATAGCCGTCGCCCACGGTCGCGGGGCTCAACGGCGAGCATTCATTCCACCACGACTCAGCAGACCCAGGATCAACAGATCAACGACGGGTTTCCCCACTTCTTGCCCACGCAGCCTACTGGTCATAGTGTCTTTGCCAGTAATCCAGAGGAAATCATCATGCGATTTGGACAGCAACTGTCGCACCAGGTAAACGGCGCATCGCTCGACCCAACGCTGCAAGATGCTCACCATGCCGTCATGCCACGGGCGGAGGAGTTCGCTGGTCATGCCATGCACAGTCACTTATCGCATCACTCACTGTCGGGGGGTATACCGAACCACGGCTTATCTAGCGTGCCGATGCCACAATTTGCGGCAATGTATGATAGTGGGATTGAGAACCACGTGCCGGAACACATTCTGGAGGAGAACGAAAATTCCGAGGCTGGCGCGAAAAAGAAGAAAGGGTCCAGCTCCTCCCTTGCCAACGACAATGAGCTTCGAAAGTTATTACGTCAATATGAGGGATTCACTCTGAAGCAGATGGCAGCCGAGGTCCTGAAGCATGAAGGTGCCGGAGGTAAGGCTGAAAAGGTGAAGCAGGTCTTCGCTATGATATGGTAAGCGGCTGCTCGATCTTTGACTCTATCCGCCATGCTAACCTGGCTATAGGTTGAAGGAGAACTGTAGGAAAAGCAGCGGGTCGGTCAGACGTGATCGCGTGTATTGCTGTTACGCCGAGAAGTGTGGCACTGAACGTGTCTCGGTGTTGAATCCTGCATCATTTGGGAAATTGGTTCGCATCATCTTTCCCAACGTCCAAACAAGACGATTGGGAGTCCGCGGTGAATCGAAATACCACTACGTGGATCTGACTGTGATAGAAGAGAAACAGCAGAAGCCGCCGCCACTAAACCCTCAGTTGCCGATGAGCGGAAATGGTTCAGATGGTGTCGCAGACAGCAGAACTGACGAGATGATGCAGAAAAGGTATAGTGCATGCTCCTTTCCCGTTCTCTTGACGCAAAGCATTAATGGTGCCTGTATCAACAGTGTCGTACCCCAACCCCCTGCAGACACAGCCGAATTCCCTTCTCCCACAACATCATTTACCCCGAGATTCTCGGCAAATATCTCCAACGCGGGGTGCGGTTGCCCTACCTCATCATACTCCTATGATGACTCCTCCATTACCCTTGAGAATATGGCAAGCCAAGCCGGCAAAATCATCCACCAGATGCTTGATCTGCCCTCATGCGACACTCCTTCCATCGATAATGAAGACCTCCAGCTTCCTAATATACAACAGTACCTCCCAGCCAACACGGACCCGAAAATCGCTGCTGCCCTTGCAGCACTTTACCGCTCACATTGCATCTCTGTCATTGATAGTTTCCGTTATTGCAAAGAAAAGAACATGCTACGATATTTCTCGGCATTCCATGGCACCCTGACAGTCCCTGTGCAGAAGCTCTTGACGCATCCGAACCTCGCTCCTTGGATCAAAGAATGCGATTGGATCATGTATCAAAAGATGATTGCGTTCGTCGCGCCACTCACCACTCAGGTTGTTCCGAAATTGGTTTTGGATGCCTTTTGCTCGATTTCGCAGCGTCTAACAGCCCACATAGCCGACACATTTAAAACCCAGCCTACACATGTTTCTTTGGCCAGACTGCTGCCAGCTCATATTTTCTGCAATCTACTCAAGCATATGCTTGATGTCAATCAGTCTGCCAACGCGGCCGCCGCATGGCTCTGCCACCCCGACAATAGGAATCAAATGTGGTTCGATTTCAAGACATTGGTTGATCCGAAAGAAATGATCATGAAAGCCAATATTCCTAGCTGCGCAGAGCGTGCAGTAGAACAGATATTGAAGCATGACATTCGATCTCTGCTCACACCAGTTACAGACGTTAACCCTTCCACCACCCTACCCTTCTTTACAAAGCCTGATACCGAGGAAGACACCAAACTACACAAATTCCCTGTCGAAGGGGCGACCGGCGATGACTACAACTTCCCAGACAAGTGGATCTCTTTCATTTTGAATCTCCCCGCGGCTTTCCCGCATCATCGCACGCAGTGTATCATACAGAAGGTCGATGCTCTGTGGGATTGCATCCTGCGGCGACTTACCCTGGGTGGCGCCCAAAGCTTTAGCGCCTGGTGGATGACTAAGGTCTTTTTCCATGAGATGATGCAATGGCAGGCCGAAAAAGGGGGATTTATGCGCTACAAACCAAGCACCCTGCAACATGCTCGCATGGGTGCAAACCAGCAAGGGCAGACTGGATTTCTGATGAAGCCCTCAACTTTGCCGAGCCATGAAAGGAGTCAACCAATGATGACCGGTGATTCTCAGCTGGGTAGCGATGCAGGGGTAAGACCAACCCCAAGCTCGACATCGGCAGAGAGCATGGGTCGAACTCACGATTCTATGCCGCCCCAAGTGGATGCGGACTCCAGCTCTAACGATACCGAACCCGAGAAGCCTACCAACATTCCTGAGAGCATTGCTGGCTTCCATGCTCCCAATAATGATGATAGTGCCATTGATCTTGACGACGACTCGATGCTGATGACCGTGGGTAAATATGGCGACATGATGGCTTCCGACCCAGCAGATGCTGAGGGAGATATCGTGGTCATATGATCTACCTCTACATATTCCTTCGAATCTTCGTTCTTGGATCCAAAATTTGAGTTTTCTTTGTTTCAACGGTGGAGTTGAACTCTTTGCTTTTTCAGGAGTACCATTTTGGTCAGATTATTTGTTTGATGTCTCATGTCTGAGGAGATTCACCTTCGGCGTTCGACGATCTTTGCACGAGAGATGAGAAATGAGAGCATCGATTCGAGATATTGTCAGCCACGTGATACGTTATCCCAGCACCAACTGCGCTGCTGCCAGGGTATCAGGCTGACCTTACCTCCCTCTACATACACTACCTAATAGCGTGGTTGATCCCGCTTGGCTCCCGCTTCTAACCGTCTTCTTTTCTTCCTGACCCTTTCTCTTCCGAACTCAATAATGCCTACCTCGGAAATACGGGCCATCCATCTCTTCTTGTACATACATACCCATACTTCTTTCTGGTTCGCTGATCCAAGGCAATTCGATCTTTCCCAAACCTGGTGATTGTCTGAGTTTCATATTGGGCTTGTTTATTGGCGAGGCCTTTCCCGATGCTTCACCGGCGTTTCGGGGGTCATGTCCTTATTTGTTTGTCCCCAGTTTCACCCCCTGGGAGCTTCCAATCTATCTGTTTGTGTACGCTCGAAGTTGAGCCAGGGGCGGCGGTAGGATGCTTCCTCTTGCAAGCCATCTGCAGCATCCCATACTTTAATATTTACGAACTTCTTCATATGTCTTCCATTCCTTGTTCAACTGATGGCTTGTGGATTTGATAATCGTCAGGAAGCTACCATTTGGCATGATTGACCGTCTCATGTTTACGGAATTAGTGGCATTCAGTGTGTCCCTGGACAAGTAGGTCGCAGTCTCTCAAGCACTGTCGAGTAAATCACTCTCGACCGAGCAAACATACTAGGCCCAATGATGGACAACACATAGTCGCCCCAATACCCCAAGCACTAGACATCGCTGACAAGGGAAAATGATCATTCTCTCATTCGTTGCTTCACATGGAAACGAAGCCAAGTGCAGGCATCGACGGCCGAGATACTTAAACATTGTCTCACCACCGTGGAAGCTTGGTCTATCTTGGCGCACGCACACAGAAATAAAAGAAATAAAAAGGAATCCCTGTAGTTTAGGTACCGGTTTGCGGTTCAACCAAGCTATGGTATGAAAGAAGAAAGAGAAACAAGCATCGGTGGCGTATGATATACCGAGTCGCAAGTACCGGCAAAGCCCACTAAGATGACCAGTGAGGCACATTTCCACAGGCAATGCGGATGCACAGGTTCCCATCGTGGGGCGTGCGCACAAGCAGTCAACATCGGCTCATCTGAAACTCGTAGCAGGAAAGAACCTCGGGCCACCGTAGCCGTACGCAATGATACTCTGGATATCTATGTTTTTGCCGCTATGAGGATTCCACAGCTTTACAAGTATGTATCTTCCTGAACTGTAAGACGACCATCAGCAAGGTAAATAGACTCTTCTCGGCTAAGTAGACTACTGGGGCTTACGGTGGAGGATCAAACTTAATGCTGACCATGCTCTTGTGTCGTTCAATACGAAAGCGCGCATGCGGTCTCATAAGCGAAGAAACCAGAGGCTGGGAGACTTCATTGCTTGAGGCGGGAGGCGAGTCCGGCGAACGTGGACGTTGTCTTGGGTGTGCCGCATTGTAGCGACGTCGCATGGCTCGAATTTGTCTCGATAAAGCCCGGCGACGCCGAGGAAATGTACCCATTTCAGCGAGTTCAGCTTCGCTCAGACTATCACTGGTATCTGAGCAAATAGCGGCGTCTTCGTACCGATCTGCCTCCAATCGCTCTATCTCGGTCAGGTAGGGAGTCTCGTCATCTTCATCTCGTTCGTTCGCCTCTGAACGTTCGTCTGAGTGTTCATCGTAATTGGTTATGGTGCGGAAATCCGAAATTGGGTTGGGTCCGCCTCCCACAGTAGGCCTTGCAGGGTCATTGTTGTCAGTGTCAGATCCTTCGGAGTTGAGATTGGAGTCAACATTGTTGCCCGGAGCACTCGGCAGACGAGGCTGGTGTGCATTCAAATATTCCTGAGACGGTTGCATTCGTGGGTGCCAAGACCGCCGAGTCCGTCCCGTTGTCTCACATAGGATATGAGATGCGGCTGTTCGAGCTAGAAGGTCGTCAGATGTCATTGAAACGAAAACCATTCCTTCTTGGATCCTTTGAATGGTGTCAGCAGCTGAGTCGACAAAGTGAAGCAGCAATCACCTACGGAGCATCATAGCCCGTCCTAGGCGCTCTGATGACGATCTTTTTCAGGCAAAAAGGGATCCCAGCATAGTGTTTCAATATCAAGTTGCATCGGTTCGACTTTGTACAGTAGACAGTAGTGTCGTTGCGAAGGATATTCTCGGGCCACGAACTTTCTCCATCGGGTTCGTATGTGCCTCCGTCACAGCTGGCTAACTCCATCTTCAGTGCTCCAGGTACCACTTGACCATATTGCCCGTAACGAAAGTTTTGTAATCCTTCTCTGTGATCATCCATCTCCAGCTTACGACGCTTTGCCCTCCAGTTATCTGACGGGGTTTCACTCTCCCGTTGTTGAGGCATGACGATAGGCGATTCGAGACGAGGAACAGGCTCATCTAAGAGAGACCTTGCATTTTCGTCTCTAATACTTCTCACGCGACCAATTCGATCTCCTCCTCTGAGTGGACGAAATCTTGGGGTCCTACTACCAGGCCGCGTGGGGTCAGAAGCATTTCCTTCGAAATTGACAACTGTTACATTTAACGCTTGCGGTCTTTGACCAGCAGGGCGCACAGTACCTGCAAAGTTATCGTTCCCCTGGTGTTGATTCCAGATGTGATGCTCGGCTCGGGCTTGTTGAAACTGTCGATCTAGATTCGTCCTGGCCTCTTCGACAAGGACCGAAGACCTACCCCGATACTCTTCCAACTCCTGGTTTAATGTCTCCAACGCACGAGTCGAGTTGTTGCGGTTTCGCTCGGAGTTGAGAAGCTCCTGTAGATGTTGCAGACGGTTCGGGACCGGACGTAAATGCCTGTCGTTGTTGGTACGAGACCCTCGAGAGGGACGGCGAGAAGCAGGTGGGTAATCGTAGTTCCCGGACTAGAGTTGCAGCACGGGCGACGGTGAGCTTCTGCATGGAAAAAGTGGGCCAAATCTATTCGCCTCAGCTACATACCATAATTTGATGATGAGACGAGCTGATCACCGTGATGGAAATGAGAGAATGAGCAAGGGCGGGAAGGCGTACAGCGGCGACTACACGGATCTCGATAACCGGACAAAGGATGAGGCGTCACACACGAACAATGACGAAATCCAAGCCGGTAGGTCAGTGTAAAGAAGAGACCACTCAAGGTAATATAAAGTGAAACAGGATGAAGGGGATAGAAAGCAGGACAGGTAGGGATGTGAATGTGAGAAAGGAAGGTATGGGTGTACGTACTCCGGAGTAATAGTCGATGAATATCAAAAGGTGGAGTTGAATTGAATGACGAAGCGATAAGCGATTAGTTATCGGAGGCAGGCAGGCAGGCAGGCAGGCGGGCGGGCGGGCGGCAGCTCATTCCCTCCCCGCACGTGATGATGATGATGATGATGAAGAGACGATGATGAACTGCGACTTCAACTTCTAGTGCTCCTTCACACAAGCTTTTTTCAAAGGTCTCATCCTGACAGGGCTCTCTTCTCGGTTCCTCTCTATTCCTCTCTCGACCAGAATACCCTCCCAAACCTTGCTTTCTGACACTTCTCCCCCCCTGCTCTACCTTTCCCAACCCGACATCTAGACTGGCCATCATCCCTCTGATCACTTTGAAACATTTACCACTCTCTGTCAAGGCGCAACTCCAGATACAGGTAATTCTAATCAATCAAAACAGGTATCCTGACGTGTGAGCGGGAGGTTGCCCTTATCTGCGTATCATATTGGACCTACCATGGAGTCGCAAACAGCTCAGTCAATGAGCGCAGGTATGTCAAGGTCATGACTCGGTCTTGTCCAGGGGAACACATCACTGACCCCAGTCGTGAAATCAACTAGATGAGATTGCGCTGTATGACCGCCAGATCCGTCTTTGGGGAGTAAAGGCTCAGGAAAAGTGAGCTATAGTCGTACCTTTCGTGGTTTGTTCAGCATGTTCTAACCCCTGGTCTCATCACAGGCTGCGATCCGCGAAAATTCTTCTTATTACGTTCAAGGCTTTGGCGAACGAGGTTGCCAAGAATTTGGTGCTTGCAGGTATCGGTTCTCTTACAATCATTGACCATGAGACTGTAAAGGAGGAGGACCTCGGCGCGCAACTTTTCGTGACAGAAGATTGTCTCGGTCAAAATGTATGGGAAGCCTTTTCCCCGCCGACTCCGACTATGCTAATTCGACCCCCCAGCGAGCACAAGCTGCAGCTCCAGCTGTGCGTGCCATGAACCCTCGGGTACAGCTCCATATCGACACGGAAGATGTTCACCTCAAACAACCTGAGTTCTTTGCACAGTTTGACATCACTATTGCCACGGAACTTGACTTTCATACTTACACTACTATCAATGCCGCTTGTCGTATAGCAAATCGTCCCTTCTACGCTGCCGGTCTGCACGGTTTCTACGGTTTCGTTTTCGCGGATCTTATCTCCCACGATTTTGTGATCGAGAGGTCCAAGTCCAACGTGCCATCCGTCACCCAAGAGACTCCGACTCGGAGTATCTTGGATATTACAACTAAAAGGGAGAGGGAGAATGACAAGGTCATTGAAATGGTAACCAAGCGCGAAGTGTACTCCCCTCTGATCCTCGCCAACACTTCTCCGCTCCCCGAAGAGTTCACACGCCTTCCTCGCAAACGCAGACAGGTCACTCCGTTGCTTACTTGTCTTCGTGCTTTGTGGGAATATCAGAAACTTTCCGCCGGCGCCCTCCCAACCTTCTCCCCGCAGGACCTAGAGGTCTTTACGAAACTCGCGCGAGACGGCCATCAGGAGCTGAAGCTGGACATAGCAACCCTCGATGCCGGGTTCTTGCGTACCTTTTTGCAGAATTTGAACAGCGAGCTGAGTCCCGTGGCAGCGTTCGTTGGTGGCAGTCTTGCACAAGATGTAATCAACGTGCTCAGTGCTCGCGAGCAACCTCTCCAGAACATGCTACTATTCGACGGTGAACGTTCAACCGCTCCGATCTATCCCCTGCACCCTATTTTCCCGCCCGAGGTCGATAACATCCTTCCTGCCGTGATCCCAGTTCCGAATCCAATTCCTCTGGATGGGCCTCCTGTTCTGGCACCTTAAATGGCCCAGAGAGCAATGGATGTTCCGTCGGGATGGGTAAAAGAGGCACTGAGACACGGCAAGAGAGAGAGAACCATCTCCTTAGAGTATGGTGACAGAATTGAGCGGTTGAACCTCTTGATTCAATGCTGTGGGCGGTGCGTTGCTTGCTTGGGTTGCGCTTGCGCCATACTGCTCGAAACTTAGTCATTTCCTCTTTAATCACGACATGTATAATACGGACAAATACAACCCCAAGGTCTTCATGGGCATTGGCACTGTGGTCTCTTCAACAGCGTATGTTGTTCCTCCCTATATCTTGCGTGTCTGCGTGTCTGTCATGGAGCTCGAGGCTTCGATGAAAGTATGAGATTCGTCTCTGATACCACAATTTGGAGGTCTCTACGCCTATCCAGTACGCTGTGGTGCAGCCTCGGACCCAGCTCTAAGCGACCGGAACGACCGATTTCGCGCCGATTCTTACCAGTTCAAGGAAACATTGAACAGACTAAATGCATCTAAATAGTCGAAGAGGTGTATATGAACAGTGCGAGCGTGATTATAAGATACCCGGGTAGAAAGGAAGGTTGAATAGATGCATTGAAATCATCGCATTGAGGTCTCCTTACCAACGAGAGGAGAGCTTTCCTCGTCCTCGGTTTTTCTGGGCCCCATCGTATTCCTGCTTTGTTCTCCGCTATCTTCCTCATCTGAGATAAGCCCCTGTAATTCAAATTCCTCGGCATCATGAACATGCTGGTTCTCGGATGCGGAGCGGGCGTGACCGTTTAGGAAGCGGCCGTGGGGCTGGTTGGGCTTGAAGCCGGATGACCCCTCGCCAGCATCATCTGCAAAACTTGAAGAACGGGAGCGTGACGGCGGCTTGGCGGATTCGGGCCATGCATGAACGGCATAGATGTGCAGGAGAACATTGACAACTGTAAGAGTTGTTAGAACAGGGCCTCCTAGCTTGTTGACAAGGCATGGAAGTGCAGCTTACACAGGAAGAGGATGAAAGCAATGCTATACAGAATCAGGACGTATGAAACATGTGTGATTCCGGCATCGCTAAGAAGTTGCATTTGCTCCTCAGTGGCGCCCATGAAGAGGAACCCAGAAGCGTACAACAACTGGCGTAAAGTCAGCACAGTAGTTCAAAGAACAGGGTATACCAGGGCCGTCAATATCCAGTCCCGGTGACAAGAGAGACTTACGAAAGGCGTGAGATATTGAAAGCTATTCGGATCAGAACCGTCTGGGTTGATGGTCCCCTTATCTCTGAGCACGAAGGAGATCTCAATAATTCTGGTGAAACCGGCCGCCATCAAGGTATAACCAAAGATGGTGTGGATCATGGTACTGATCATCAGATTTTGGGGATGAGCGGACATGGCATAGCCAGTGAGCAGTATAACCAAGGCTGGAATAAGATTGCGCTTCGGGCGGCCGTTGCGTTTTCGGCTCAACCAAATTCCCAGCAAACCAGCACACCACCAAACAATTCCCATCGTTGTGTGTTGCAGGTCGTTGTGAACCCAGGGACCTCCCCACCGGTGCTCTGTGAAGGTGTTGACGCAGCCCCAGGCAGCAATGATCAGCGAGTCGAAGAATTCCTGGCTTCGTCCAGTGCGGCGAAGCCAGTACTGACCGACGAGGAGGAGGATGGTCAGCAGGATTCCATAGGCAATGAAAGCGCTGCCCATTATAAAATGAGCTAGGCACTGTCCCAGATGATCATCTCGGCAGAAACCCAGGGCCGTGATACCTCCAAATAGCATCTGGACCCAACTCGCGACCGGCATAGCCTTGCCGACCACTCCGTGCGCAACAACCACAACACGACGAATCCGCCCGTGGATGCCCTTGGTGAGATGCAGTTTGAGATAGACACCCAGTACGATCTGAACCACCATCATCAACATTAGTGTGTTCGCGAAAGATGCATGGACATTCTTGGAGAATTGGCGACCCTTATGCGCATGACCAAGAAAGTATGCGACGACTGCGACGACAGTGCCAACTATCTGAACAGGGACATGCCAGCGCGAGCGCACGATCTAAACATTGTAGAAGAGACCTTATTAGAACCTTGGATTCGAGTGAGGGTGCGCCAGCGACATGAATGGACCGGGTTGGATAGAATAAATGCACGAGAGAATTGCTACTCACCCCGAGAACCATACCCAGTGGGAAAATGATGCCAAAGGCAAATCCCATGAGGATCATGTGCAACCATAATGTCGAGTCCTGGAGAGCGCTTTGTCAGTCTACCATTTAACCATAAAAAGAAGAATAAAGGAGGTCAAAAACCAGAGGCAACCTACAATGGGGTCCTCGGAGATGGCGGCACCTTCGGGAACATTTTCATGGCCCTCGTGAGCCCAGGCAGGCGTGGTAAGAAATACCAAGGCTACCAACAACCCCCCAGATAAGCGGGATCGACTTGTTATTTCCATGATCGGTCCCTTTCCTCCTCTTTCCAAAGGAGAGAGAAAGATGGGATGAAAAATCAAAAGAGAGATTTATGAGGGGAAGGCAAGAAAGTGAAGAGAGGGGGAGATAGAGAGGGAGACACAGAAAGAACAGAGAAAAGGGAGGTAGGTGATGAGGACAAAGAGATCTGCTGGGCTGGGCTGGGCTGATTGGGACCTGAGCTGAAGACGTAAGCATCTTCTAAAGCGCATTCGGATAAAGCGGATTGGGTAAAGACCCGCTAGTACTGGGTCAGTGTGTGATTTGTGGTACTCTATACTTCCATCCTTCTAGAAACGTGAATTTTGTTTACAATCTATATACTTCTCTCGTTGAATCCGCATCTTCCATCGTTAAAATCATTATAATCATCATCACATCATCATCATCGTCATGTTCAGTGCTATTTATCTAAACCACCTTCATCCTTGAACATCATGCCATCCCCGCAAGACTCCACCGCCGAAACCGGCAAGGAATTGACACCTGCAGCCGATGAACAGGCCTCAGAGAGAAAACTGGTTGGGCCCTCTACCCAAGGAAAAAATACTTAAATTGATATCCTGTGACATGCCATTCTAGTCCAATTTGCACCAGTTCATTATCAATAAACAAACTCAGAAGAGTGAGTTGGAGGCTCAAATCGCCGAAGCCAAGGCTCAACTGAAGTATGAAACGACGAGATCCGCATAGTGCGGCGAAGAAAACCGCTTACTGACCGATTGATTTCGGTGTGTCGGCTAGGGATGACCCCCAGACCACGGTCCAACGACACATTCGGTTGCTGCACGAATACAACGAAATAAAGGACATTGCTCAAGGGCTACTGGACCTGATTGCGGATGCTCGGGGAGTGCGACATATCGACGTCCAAAGAGAGTATGGTGTGGGTGATCGCGACTGAGATCGACTTTCTCGTGCATAAAGCATTAAAGCTTACTGAGACTTCTTCCGGGCAAAGAGCTATCTGCGTATGATCTCTGAGTCGGTACAACATTTCCGCCTCTTAACTGAGTGGGGATATCTTAGGCAAAAGTACAGGTCGAAGAACCTCTCCGTAACAGGAGGCAGAGGCAATTGACCGTATTGCCAAATCCTTACAAAAATTGACCTTCATATTTTGATCCAAACGCCCCTCATAAGCCAGCCAACAACGCAACATAATGAAGACAAGTCACAATATCCGCTTGGAGGCACATCATCATGCATGCAAAGGCCTCCCCAAATCATGTCATGTCACATGAGAAACAAAATGAGTAGAAGAAGAGCGGGAATATCTAAACGTAATAAGAATGAGCGGTGTAGAAGAGGCAAGACATTATAAAATCTGTACAGGATATATAGGAATGAGTATAATTAGTGGCCTTTGTCCAGGCTCTGCAAGTTGACCAGCTCGAAATAGCGACCTTTGGTGCGGATCAGCTCCTGGTGTGTTCCGCTCTCCACGATCTTGCCCTGGTCAAATACGTAAATGACATCGGCTTTCTGAATAGTGCTGAGACGATGCGCAACTGCGATGGTGGTTCGGCCACGAGCCGCAGCATCGAGCGCTGCTTGCACAACTTTCTCAGATTCGGAATCAAGGGCAGAGGTGGCTTCGTCAAGGAGAAGAACTCGGGGATCCCGAATCAGGGCCCGTGCGATAGCCACACGCTGCTTCTGTCCTCCAGACAACATGCTTCCTTTGCTGCCAACCACTGTATTGAATCCATCCCTGCAGATAAAGGGTTAGCTGCCTGGCTTCGAAAATAAACGTCGGCAAGAACTTACGGGAGAGACATGACAAAATCATAAATATTGGCTTCCTTGCAAGCCTTGACCAGCGCTTCCTCGGGCACATCCTCACCGGTAACGCCCAGGAGAATATTCTCCCTGATCGTACCTTGATACAGGGTTGGTTCCTGGCTCACGAGCGATAGGAAACTGCGGTACGAGTTGACATTTAATTGTGTGATATCCTTGCCGTCGATAAGAACCTTTCCTGCGATGGCATCATAGAATCGCTCAAGCAGCGCAATGGTGGTACTTTTACCACAGCCACTAGGGCCAACGAGGGCGACATATTGCCCAGGTTTGACGGTCAGATTCAGTCCTCGCAGGACAGGCTGTTCAGCTCGGGTGGGGTACCTAAAATGCACATCGCGGAATTCAATGGACCCTTCCACTGACTGAAGGCTCTCGCCTTCTTCCGACCAGGTGTCGATCTGTGGCTTCCTGTCGAAGAGTCTGCGGAATTCAGCTGCAGCATTCTTCGCCTTTCCCATATCTGGAGCGAAAGAAAAGACCGTGCCAGCAGATTGCGCACCAAATAGAATCTCGGAGAAGCAGACAAAGAAGCGGAAGACAGAGTACTCATGATGACCCAGGAGCGTACCTCCGTACCAGAAGCCAAGCGCAACACAAAAGAAGACCAGCGCTTGCGAGGCGGCGTATAGGATAGAAGACCTTAGCACCGAGATCAAACTTGTACGGCCCTGTGCCTCTAGCTGGCCGTGGTAGATATTCCAAACATCTTTCTCCCGGGTGAGGGAAGCCACGGTGCGAATAGCAGAGGTCGCCTCACAAGCATAGCTTGCAGATCCTTCGTAAGCGCTCTTGGATCTTTGCTGAAACTGCGCTAGCATGTAGAAGCGGTAGAATCCACAGCCCAGCAGCACCGGAACAACAGATATACAGACCAAAGCCAACTTCCAACCAATGGAGAGAGAGATAATCATAGCTGCGCCAAGAGTCGTGCTGGTCATGAGAATTGTACCCAGTGTGGCGCCACTGACACCTGACAGATGTTTGGTTTCAGTCGATAGAAAGGATGTGAGTGCACCAGTACTGTTTTCTTCTCTATCGAAGAAAGTAATATCCTGACGCAACATGGACCTGAAAGCCATACTCCGAGCTCGGCGAATTAGTCTCTCCGAGCAAACCGCGAAAGCGGCACCATTAATGGAGAGGTTGATAAATTGGGCGATCCCGACCACAAAGAACATCAGAGCCCAGAACGCACCGTCATGTCTGATCTTTGCAGCCTCACTTGTTGGGAGTGAAAGCGTGCTGATGGCCTTGGCGTACAAAACAGCTTGGGTAGGTTGGCCACCACCGGAGAGCACAGCAAAAACCAGGCCAATAAGCATATAGAGAGTCTCGGGGCGATTGAACGAAGCGATAAACTTGACTAACGCCCACAGCGAGTATTTTTTAGCAACTTCCGGTTCTCGCTTAGCAAGAATGGCGCTGGAAATCGACTTGTGTGTTCCACTGCGTCCAAGGCCATTGGCGGCAAACATCTTTTCGTCGTCATCAGCTAGCGAACCGGTGCCACTGCTTGCAGACTTGATACGTTCGATCTCGTCTTTGGCGAAGGTATCATCGTTGAGATCCACACCATCAGTAGCAAGGGCTTCCGCGTCCTTCTCCTCATTGATTCGCTGTGCTTCCACGAGGCTTTGGTATGTGCCTTTACGGCCAACGAGTTCGTCATGGTTGCCCTGTTCCACAATCTTACCGTTCACCATAACGACGATGTTGTGAGCTGACTTGATGGTAGAGAGACGGTGAGCAATAACAATGGTAGTGCGGCCTTCAGCAGCTCTATCCAAGGCTGCCTGAACGACACCCTCGGATTTTGTGTCCAACGCCGATGTCGCTTCGTCGAGCAGAAGAATCTTCGGGTCACTGACTATAGCACGTGCGATGGCAATGCGCTGCTTTTGTCCCCCGGAGAGCAGGAAACCGCGCTGACCCACATTCGTCTCATAGCCTTCGGGGAGGGCGGTAATAAAATCATGAGCGTTGGACATTTTCGCCGCGTTCTCAATCAACTCTCTGACTCTTCCCTCCGATTCATTCTCATACTTGGTACCGATAAGACCGTGGCGGATATTGTGGTATATCGTGGTACCAAAGAGAACAGGTTCCTGACTAACCAGCGATATTTGTTGACGCAGCCAACGAAGGTTGAGGGTTGAGATATCGTGGCCATCCAAGAGAACAGAGCCTCCTACCGGAAAGTAGAATCGCTCAACTAGACCAACAACCGTACTCTTCCCTGAGCCAGATGGACCAACCAACGCAGTCGTCTTACCGGCAGGCATAGACAGGGAAACACCATCCATGACGATGACTTCAGGGCGGGATGGATAGATGTGCTTGATGCCACGGAATTCAATATTGCCTTCGAAGTGCTCAAGTTTCTCCCCCTCGTCGGAGTAGGGATCCAGAGGAGAGGGACGGTCGATAGTCCCATAGATCTTGACGGCTGCAGCAAGGGCATTCGTAAAAGCTTGCCCATTAGGAGCGACGTTTCCCAAGCTGAAAGACCCAATCAAGATAGCCATGAGAACAGTCAGTACTTGTCCCACGTTGACATCTTCATCGGTGAGGAAACGGGAACCCATCCAGAAACCAAGGCCGTAGTTAGAAAACATGATACCGAACATGCCGCCGATCATGAAGCCGAGAATGACCTGAGTCTTGATACCCCATTTTTCTGCTTCAGCCAAATGGGCCTCATATTGTTTGGCTAGCTTGTCTTGGGTACCAAATGCTGTGGCATTACGGATTGAGCTGATGACCTCTTCGGCCACGGTCCCACCGGCACCTGCACTCTCCAAGGACTTCTTGCTGTATTTGACAATAAAGCGAGAGCCACCACCCATAGTCATGACAAGGGCGACAATGGTCGAGGTACAAATGAGCGCAAGTTTCCAGTACTTGATGTAGGCGACAATAAACGCGGTCACGAAGGTAGCGATAGCTGTCAGAGTAAGCCCAACCTTCTCTGAGATACCGTCTTGGATCAGGTTCGTGTCGGCTGTGATGCGAGTTGTGACTTCACCAGCACCAAGTTTATCGAAATAACCCATGTTTTGTCTCAAGATAGATTCCAGGTAATGTTCACGAATCTTTTGCGTGATGTGTTCTCCAGTGTAAATGAAACCGACGGTGGAGATATAGACAGTGACGAATTCGGCAATTCCAAGATACACGAAGTAAAGAACGTTTTTCGTCAGCTGATGATAGAAGTCGTGGTAAGAGAGTTCGTATAGAGCAATGCCTCTGAAAGCCGAGGCCAGAGATCCGAACAGAATCTGCGAACAACTAGATCAGTCACGAAACGAATCAATGTCGAACTGCAAGGAGACCACTTACGGTAAACAAGGGCAGAGCAGCGCCTGCTACAATAGCACAAAGCGCACTGACAAGCATGATCAAGACGTCCGTTCGCGAAGCATATCGGAAGAGTGCGAAAAACGACACACTCACATCCGGTGCGTCCAGTTGCTTTTTCAGAATGTCCTTTTCATGCTCTGGAAGGTGGGCGAAAAGCGCGTCCGGGTCCTCGGATCGTGCCAGTGCAGTTGGACGAGAGCCCTTGTCCTTCTCTCCGGCAGGGACCATCGTAGAACTGGATACAGAAGAGCGACTGGCTGACTTGTGGTGTTCAGCTGAGGATGCGCTTCCCCGTTCCATCAGCTCGATGTCGGCGTTATCAATTTTGTCCCCAGGAAGAGGCTCATTTTCTGGGTGAGCCATCCTTGCTCTTGATGGCAGAGTAGAACGTATTGAGTCTCACACTTGCTGCTGCGAGGTTGGCAGGCGAAATGTCGGAAGAGAGAGAAAAGGAAACGAGGGGCCGACGCGCACTACTCCATGGGGAACGGGGGCGTTCGATAAAGGTCGCTGAGAGAAATCCAAGGTGACCACCCTGTCTATTGTAGCGATTTTCCCGAAGGGAGGCGGAGGAGGTGTCTGGAGAGCTGGTCGGAAATTCTGTCGCGGGATCCTAGGTTACTAGGGATGGAATGGAATGTACAATGTTTTATCCAACCTCAAGGTATTGCGGGTCGATTAATTGCAGTTATGGTTGAAACAGAGAAAAAGGGGGAAGAAGGGGAGGAATAAATAATTGAAACTAGTTCATTCGTCTAGCACTGGGGAAGCTGAACCTTGAGAGCTTTGGGGATTTGAATCCTGATGATGCCCCCATTGTCGGCGTCAGCGCTTATTCTCGTTTCTCTGTGATACGGAATAATATAAAGAGAGGGAAACATTAATTTTAGCCTCCGTTTCTTAGCGTCATCGGAGCCCCGACTTCCCGAGCGTTTTTATGTATTTGCTTTTTGCGTTTTCCCGGCGTATTAAGCGTATTACTAATGGGCCATGAATCAATCCATGAATCGCAGAGTCCCGAGTGGCATGAATCCAATGCGCATTCAATATTTCCAGCAATATTTCCAGCTTGACGGCTTGCACATGCATTAGGTTGTGATAGTCGGGGGGGAAGAATGGAGCTATAGAACCTATCCAGCCACTGGTCAAAATTCGCTTGTATATGACCGAGTTTGCTTCTGTTTGCAACCAAACACTGTCCTATCGCTATCAGTATCATCTAGTAGTCGACTCCGTACAGTAGTTAGTAGTTGATCATGGAAAACCTGGATGACGGATGGATGGATGGATTGGTTCTGCGGGCACTTCATTCGGTCTAGTTCAGATACAACACCGAATGGGAAATCAATGCGTGCCAATCGTGAGGGAGGAATCGAAAGACCTACGTCCAGCCATCGGTGCCTAAAGAGCCTTAGCGCGGGTGAGAAACCAGGGCGGGGTCTGCTTCAGGTGGGTTGGAAGTGAAAAGACCCGCTCCAATTATCGGCTACCAAACGAATACGGCTGTCAACCTGTGATAGAGTGACTTCTGTACTCCTAAGTACCAATACCTTGAGGCGTTGGTCAGACGTTCGAGAGTCTGCTGATGCAAGACATACACTAGTTATTTAGACTAAGTTACTCTTAGTATGTACACTGGTACAGTACTTCGTATGATCGGGCTCGGCGCTTACAGGGTACCGTCCTCCTGCGATGACAAAGCAGCCAACAGAGGTTCGAGCTCAAAAGCGATTCCGTTCCATGGATAGGAGATGGCCAGCAAGGTCATTTTCCTGATAGAAACCGCCTATCTCCGTGCCCTTGACAATGGCAGAGTACGGAAAAGTGTCATGGCAGGGGACGGAATTCCGATCATTTCGACTATTCACCTCCTTTGACAGCCTTTGTGATAGATGCTCGATGTAGTAGTTTGTGCCTCTCGATGACTCATGGACAGGCGCCCCTCCCTTTCAGGAATTCTATTAGTCTTAAAACGTACTACGACCTACTCCGTACTCCGTGCAGTATGATGAAACCACAGGATTTGTAGGAGATACCAACTTGGCTCCTTGTGAGTCACTGAGCACTGGATTAAGCATAAGCCGACGTGGTACTTCGTGATTCCTTGAGGTTTTGGATCCAAGGGACCATTGCGTTCAGGTGACGGTACGATGACTCAATTGTATGCAGCAAGTAGTTATGTCTCAGGGCGAACTGCACGTCCTTGTGCTCCGCAGGATTTGCCAGAGTGTGGACATGAACCTCCGGATATCAGAAAGGCTGGACCCCCCATAGTACCTGTCTGATCGGACGTTTGGCGGTCAGCGTACCTAAGCAATTGGTCGGCCTTGCGGGTATCTCCTCCGGACAAGCTACGGAGTACAGGCTGCTATTGTGATAAGTCTTCACAGGGACTCATGTACTAATCCAAGGTCGGGCGGACAAAAACCAGCAGTCTCAACTAGGATGGTGCTGGTGAGAAGATATTCTGAATCAAGATGATTTTTGAGCGTACCAGTACTACCCAAAGAAATTTGAACATAGTTCATATATGGTGCGAGTGTTGATTGATGGGGTGGAACTAGTTGTGCCTCAGGCATATAGCACGTGACCTATCCGAAGCGAAACGCTAAGCCCTGCCCGCACAAAAAAACTACCACTACGAACGGGACTTGAAGACGGTCGACAACCTCACTACCGCCAGTCCATACCCTCAGCTCGCCGTTGCGACAAGCCTTCAAGATGCCGGTTAGCAACCCCCTTGTGATACGATCAGACCTTAAAACGGGATATTATTTACGGCTGGCTATTTTGGCCAGATGGAGATCAGGATGGAAACTGCTAGGATGAGGAGAAGACCAATGGCTAACGATCGTATCTTTTCTTCAATATAGAGCCACAAGAGTTTCCGCACCAAGCAGAAGCTTGCTAAAGCTCAGAGACAGAACCGTCCTATTCCCCAGTGGATTCGTCTCCGCACTGGTAACACCATCAGGTAAATAAGAACCTTGTTATTGCACTACCACGATTCGATCCCCGTGAGAAGATTCGACCCCTCGATGGCACCGGACCGCCTGGCAACAACGGAAGACGATGGAAGGACAGTGAGGGGATGGAAGCCATTGCTCGACAATCAGCCGACAAAAATCTCATTTCAATTACTGGGATTTGACAATCTTCGTACTTGCGACCCGAGTTCTTGCTTACCAGACACGCACACGGGCGATGACGATCATATCCGGGAATACACAGGGCAAATAGCTGACCACGCTCCCTTCTCACAGATACAACGCCAAGCGGAGACACTGGCGCAAGACCCGTCTCGGTATCTAAACTCGTTCAAGCCGATCAACCGACTTCTTCGATTTCACCCGAGATGTCTTTTATCCCCGGGATTGTTTCGTTCAGTTGTGATACCGCCAACTCTTGTGTGCCTCTCTTGCTCGCGATGATTAAATCTGCATCATCCTGAACTCGTCGACCCGCTGCTTTCTGATCCACACCTTCGATTCTCTCCTTCGGTTTTTGTTTCCTGTTTTCCGGCAAAAAAAGAAGTATATCTGGCAAGCGAATATCCGTTCTTGCACGTCGAACGGTATCCGGGACAGGGCTGGTTGAGGTGCAAGCGGTTGTTCTCGATGGGTTTTGTGATACAGTCATGACTCATGCAATTTAAGTACACGAGCTGAAAAAAACAAAAATCGAAAATTTATGAAGGATAATGAGCACTGAACGAACATTTACCAGGGGGGCTTTTGCTTTTTCCTTTTGATTACCACTCGACTCCGCGCGGCTCATAGGAACGATTCCGATCGCATATGAGGTCTGTCGATGTTCCCTTACGGGGTAGCAACCGGATAAGTCGAAAAATTCTAGTAGGAAGATACTCTATTGCTAGTAGAAAACTGGGAATGACCCCTTGGGGTGCTAGCTTTGTATATACATACTGTAACGATGCTTGCATACGTCGTCCTGACGTCTTTTCCCAGAACATTTGAGCCAATAAGTAAAATGATCATTGTATCAATGCACAAATTTACTGAACCTCGAATTCGATGATCTTGAAAAGCAAGAACATGGGAGTATAAGCGAGTTCCATTTTTTTCGGACTACTAAATTGAACTATACCCACTGTTGCCCCACGAACGTGATAGTCCATGGACAGTAGCAAAGAAAACATAATAAGATTAAATCGCTGACATGAAAAAAAAGCGAAGACCGAACGCCGGGGACTGCAACAACGGGAGATCATATGGGGTGTATCAAGCCAAAAACATCACCTAAGCGCCTATCTTTACAAGAACCACGGCCTTGTAAAGAGACAGCAATCCTTGAGAAGGTATGCAGTAGTAGTGACGCTGACCAGAAGTACACATTTAGCGACTGCAAAGCAATCTGTTAGCATACTCTCCTCTGCTTTGATAACATCCAGCAGGTTTTGCCAACTTACTCTTCAGCCCATTCATTTTCACGACGGATTTGGTCTTCCTCCTCGGGAGTGAAATCGTTCTGAATGTTGAATGTCTTTCGAATCTCTTCAGGAGACTTGCCCTTAATCATGTTGGCAACAGTCTTGCAGCCAACATCCAAGAGACCCTTGATGTCCAAATAGTTTGCAGCAAGGATGATTTCAAAAAGCATCTCCTGATCGACCTGCATGAATTTCTGATCCCATTCATCAATATCAGTCGTCTTGCGGCGCGAATCATCATCATCACCGGTGCTTGGGGGGTCGCCCTTGTGGTGCTCGCACCACTCGATAACCTTCCTCAAGACAGCTTCGTTGACATTCGGGATAGGAATGGCCTCATCGGTGTCGCCAAGATCCTCGAGCATGTTTTTGATCAAAACAGAGCGTTCAGCAACGTCGCGGGCTAAATGACAACAAGTAAAGTTAGATTCCAGTCTAGGAGCAATATATATTGAGGTGATAGAGTGGGAAGGGAAGGTGCGTACTCACCGATTGTGATCTCGACTCCATCGTTGCTGAGGAACGTGAGCATTTGGGCAGACATCCTGAGACTCTGGTTGAAAGGTATCCGAGGATAATTGTAAGGCTTATTAAATGATAAGCGTAGTGTCCAGGCGAACAAAGGCTATGATCCTCGCACAACAGCGGGGTACTCAGGCGGAGAGGAGTTGTTGCTGCTTACCGAAAAAGTGGTGTATGCGAGATTGTTGTTTCCTGATGGGTGATAGACCAGCTAGAGAGATAAAAAGATAGATTGAGGGGTCTAAATAGACGAGGGAAAGTGTTTCGAGGTTGAGTTGTGTACGGAGTAACTGGGGGAGTTTGTAGAAGGAGACCGACCTGGAGATCAAAGAGACCAACGTTGGTGGTGAAAGAGGCTGACGACGGGTCTTGGTTTCGAGGGGACGGGAAATCTCCGTCATCATTCGCTGTCTAGAACACCCCCCCACCTGTGCGGCTAGTGGTCTTTGAGTGTGGCGATCCTGTGGCTGCCTGGTGTCTGCCTGGTATATGCCTGGTATATGTCTGAATGCCTAAATGCCTCGGTGGCTGGTGGCTGGTGGCTGGTGGTCTTTGTGTTTTGAGAGATTAAAGACGCAACAACAGACTTGTGATATGAGAAGAAAAGAAGAATACCTCCAACCCTCCACGGAACAAAAAGCTTGAAAGCAAATTGTATTTCATCCATGATGGTTGATCGTAGTATACATCACATAATCATTCAATCAGCTCAGTGGTTGTTGTTCATCCATCGACAGAGCACGGAGCTATGGTGGAGATATAGTCTCTGATGAATGACAAAAAAGCAACCCATCAAAAGCAACGCAAGCAAGGCCCTTTCTCAAAGGATTAAGCAAGCATACAAACGATTGTCGGAACTATCCTTTTACAGCGACATTAATTTCTTGGCTGCTTCAAACGGAGCATACGCATGATTTGCCGACGATATACGATGATGATGACAGGGTGAATACGGGAGTACAAAGGCGGTCAAATTAACACAATCCGATCTCCGTTAATGTCAAACTGTCAACTTACTTCTTGTTCGATCGTTAATCGGGATAACTTGAGCTGTGCTGCTCGGTAGATCTCGTTTGACCCACCCCCAGCATTCTTGCTCAACAACGCGTCGCCGATTATCCGCCCCCCGGAGCCGGTTTTCTGATCCTCTTGTTTCTCACTCAGCTCTTACTTTTACTTTTCTCCTAAAACTTTCATTCTCTCATTCTTGCTTTCTTTCTTTCTCCGTTCATTTGACTCTCTCTCTCTCTCTTTCTCTATGTTTTCAAGCTATCCCCATATCCTTGTAGGCATGTACCATATTCTCCGCCGGACTTAACCCGTTGTCGCCATCTCACATTGCCCGCACACTCCTTCCCTCCACCATCATGTGCTGGCGGCGAACATACCTGCTGCTGTTGGTTATTCGGGTATATTTTGCGCTGTCTCCAAGCTATCTACATCCAGATGAACACTTCCAAGGGCCCGAAGTCTTTGCAGGTAAGGGTCCTCGCTCTTGAATGATGTGATATCAACACGTCCGAACGCGACGAATGGGATCTTTTGCGGACTCTCTTTCCCGCGTGCCTACACTTACCCGGTGTCTTTATAGGCCGGATCTTCTCCTTTCCCTCTTTATTGCCTTGGGAATTCACTGCCGACAGGCCGATCCGTAGCGTCTTCCCACAATGGCCGACCTACGAGGTGCCAATGAACTTCCTGAAATGGTTCTACACGGAAACTGGAACACAGAACCCTCCTCCACAGCTTGTATACTATGCGCTGCGTGGAGTCATGTTTCTATTTAGCTTTGTGTTGGAGGATTGGGCTGTATATGAATTGGTTCCCTTACCACGCCATCGCCGCGCAACGGTGGTGCTGGTGGCATCCTCATATGTCACCTGGACATATCAGACGCACACCTTCTCAAACTCACTCGAGACTCTCTTGGTCGCCTGGAGCTTGGTTCTGATTCGTCGTATCGTTGAGAACAAGGTTAGCGCTTCCAATTCCGACGCTGATTCGTACAAGAAGTCTGGGTCTAAATGTGTTGTTGACAGCGACATTCCTCGCTCTTTTCGTGCGCTGTCTTTTCCTTGATCGCAGTCCTAGGTGTCTTCAACAGAATCACCTTTCCTGCCTTTGTGATTGTTCCAGGGCTCCAGCTGCTCCCTCATTTCTGGCACAGGTAAGCGTTTGTAGCGCATACTATGACGTGCGTGTACCCAACTGTTGACCACCAATGACAGACCTTCCTCCTTTCTTTCAGTTGTCGGGTTCGGTCTGGTATTTTTCTGCCTTGCCATTTTGGTTGATACAAGGTTTTACTCATCTGCCTCTCTCTGGGAGGCCCTTCGCAATCCCATTATCACCCCGATCAATAATTTACTCTATAATTCCGACAAGTCCAATCTAGCGCTCCATGGACTCCACCCTCGGTACCACCACTTTCTAGTGAACTTGCCTCAACTTCTAGGCCCGGCGTATATAGCCATGATCTTATCACTTTTCAATCTCGCGGCCGTTCCATCTTGGCTTATGGACATGCGCGCCGCTTCAGCCATCTCGGCAACTGTCTTGCTCTCCATTTTCCCTCACCAAGAACCGAGGTTCTTGATTCCTTGTGTTCCTCTTCTCCTCAGTTGTTTGCGCATTCGCAACACCCGGAGTTCTCGGTGGTTCTTGGTCGCTTGGGCTATCTTCAATGCTCTTTTGGGATTTCTGATGGGAGTATACCATCAAGGAGGAGTCGTCCCTGCACAGCTTGCGATGCCGTCTATTATCTCAGAAAGTGTCCAAGCGGCAGATCGCGGCTCGCTCAACACTCAGCTCGGAGCATCCGCCACTGTGCTCTGGTGGAAAACCTATTCCCCCCCTCTATGGCTCCTAGGGAACGACTCCACCTTTCTATTCGATATCCAGACGCGAGACTTGATGGGTTGCCCAGGACCAGAAGTGGTTGCGGAACTCGACAAAATAGTCCCTTCATGTCAAGAGAAGGAGAATACCCAAAGTCGCGACGTATCCCCACGCTCGGTGTTCGTGGTTGCCCCCAAATCTGCTGCATTTTTGGACCAGTTCGTGGCTCCATTAACCTCATCATCCGACCCGTCGGATCTAGAATTGCATGAGGTATGGTATTGGAGCAAACACCTCAACTTAGACGATCTCGATTTCGGTACTGATGGCATCTTGCAAACACTTAAAAGGATGACCGGAAGAAGAGGTCTAGTAGTGTGGGAAGCCCGGAGAGCTGGATGTGCTTAGACTAGTTTTCTTACATCACCGCCTGACAAGGGCATCCGTCCGTCACAGTCACTCAAGATGTCTTGCTTCCTTTCCTGACTCAGTCCTTGTTCTTGTTATTCAACGCTCTTATTACCCTGCTACTACGCTCCCCGGAAACGTCATATGATGATGACTTAATTTTCCTTTTGCCTGGCTGCTCACTCAACAGGAACCGGTTGTCCTTCCGTATTCACCTTCGTTGTGTTACATACTCCACCGTACCGTGTGGCTAAGGCACATGCGAGAGACACATTTTGCGAATAGACATCAAAACCCAGCCCGAACTGTGTTCTACGTCTTGCCACTAATGTACACATCACCATGTCCCATCAGATATCTCGATGCTTTATCTCTCATCGCCAACAACTCCTGCAGAGCTCAAAACACTTTGTCAAATGCAAGGAGAAGAGTGCCACTGCGCGCCTTCTCTTTCACAAAACAATGCATCAATAACATTCTCAAATGGTCACACGGTCCATCCTGTGCGGGAAGATGTGTGTGTCCAGCTTCGAGTCACGTTCGCGCCATCCTTTTTTCTGCCTTAACTGTAATGAACATACCCAGACTTTCTCAGTCAGAAGAGTCAGCTACAAGCATAGAAATAGGTTTGTTATTACAGAAGAGTAGTCAATTGGCTGAAGGATACAATAATTTCCATAATTTTGATCTTGTCGATCAGTAATGAGCAAGAACTCCAAGGGGTTATTTCATTGGACTGATGACAGCCATAGATGATACGTATTCATCGAGTAAGGATTGTTCAATGAAACCTATCACGCGACAGAACAGCATGCAGACATGATTAGAGAATGAAACAGGTACGATGAAAAAATCTGGCCGGCTAGTAGGCTTGCGAGGGACGGCACGAGCTCTGTGGTGATGACTTGGGCTTGACCGCGGTCTATTCTACATAGTCGCCCCAATGGAGAGGGGATTCCAACAGGATAATAGGAGGGACACATCGCGACGTTCATTATGTGGGAAGATGAGAGATCAATAGGGAAGAGTAGCATCTGGCAATAGGACATTCACCTAGATGGAAACTAAAAGGTAGGAGTAAAATCATAGGTCATCAGGGTCATCCGGATTCTCGAACAGATAATTAGCAGCAAGTTCTTCGTTCTTGTCACAAGCGAAGTAAGCTTGGATGACAAGATCCCGCGAGAATCCGAGTCGGCAAAGCTAGACCTCCGATTAGCGATGTTTCTTTCAATCATTTGACTAGTTGGGGATACCTACGCGTTCGATAGCGTCCCGTTCCTCTTCCGTGACGTGGATCTGATGCGTGCCGGGGGGAAGAGCCGCGTCGTCCTCCTCACTCAACAATTGCAGGAACTGCTCCTCGTTTTGTCCAATAAGTTGTGCAATTTGAGGATTGCCGGCAGCAACTTGTTGCAGGATAGGCTCGAGCATCTGCGGTTGTTGCTGAACCAGCTGGCGAAGCTGCTGGAAGTGGGGATTGTTCCGAAGGAAATCAAGACTGGGAACACCTTCACCAGACGCAGCTCCAGGGCGGGCACCGCGAGCGCCACCCTCCTGTCCTCCAGCCTGAGCGGCAGCTTCGAACAGGTTAACATGTTCGTCATCATCAGGAGCCGGAGCAGTTTCTTGTGCAGGAGATGCGGATGCTTGGGGCGCGCTGCCGGCAGCGGCTTGCTGCTGTTGCTCTTCCTGAATGTTATCCGGGATACCCTAAAGGCCTGTCAGCAGTTCCCAGGGCAGGGAGAGCCAGACGGGTCAGAAACAACCCGGATACTCACATTTAAGAGATACTCGATGGCGCGGTCGGGGTTGAAGAAAGCAGCCCTCATTGCACGGTTGATGTCGCTTCTAGGGAACCCCATGCTTTCCATCTGAGCGACCACTGCTTCGCTTTGAGCCCCACGCAGGAGGGCAGATGGATCGTTAAATGCGGGGCCAGTGGACTGAGAAGTTCCCGAGGCGGCTGGAGAGGGTGTTGCAGGCGCTGCGGGTGAAGCAGTGGGTGCCGACGGGGCAGGGGCAGGGGGAGCAGCGGGGGTCGAAGCAGTTGCTCGTGCGGGGGTAGAGGGAGCTTGTGTCGAAGCGCCGGAGGCAGAAGGCTTGGGCTGAGTCGAATGCAAAAATAAGCTCAATAGGAACAGATGAACACTTGCAGTACACCAGCCGTACCTTGGACACCATGCACACTATGAAACCTTTCTCTTCAATGCTGTACGATTCAATGGTCTTGTCATCTTGAAGAATCTTTCCTATTGTGGCAACGACAGTTAGCTGGAATCATCCGGCGTGTCGTGTCAAAGGACCGAAGCACCAAGCCGTTCTTCCCAACAACAATTTCTGCAGGACATCCAACAACAATGACTGACCTGAGTAGATGAGCTTCAACTGGGCTACCTCCCATCCTTTCTCCTGAGAGATTTTTCCCTTCAGTTGCCCAACCTAGAAAGAGAGAGAAAAAAACGATTTAGCCCCGCGCCGAGCCTGACAAGCTTCCAAGATCTGAAGCAAGAATAACCTACCGTCTCCGAGGGCTCTGCATCGATGACAAACTTTTGTTGTTTGAGGTCCTGAAGAGAAGAAAGTACAAGTCAAATCTAGGCCTGATGGAAAGGCGGAGCAGAGGAGAAACGCCTACTTTGAACGTGAGCTTCATGTTGCGCCACCGAAGGATGAGAAATGGCTCGACAACGTGGCGGGGTTAATGAGAAGGTCACTTGACAGAGAGTTGCAAAACCTAGAAGCTGATGATAATAAATGTGAAGACTGGTAATGAGCAATGAAGATCTTTTAGAAGATCACAAGGGTGAAGCGAAACAAAATGGAAAAGACCCGCAACAAAAAGGGAAGAAGCAGCACCGATTGATGGTGATGGGAATGGGATGGAAATGGATGAATGATGACGAAGACGGATGTTGAATGGGCGCCGAAGGAGGGAGGAGGGAGGGAGACTGAGAGAGAGGGAGCTGCGAGGCGGTCAGGCCAATCCCCACCAGCCACACTCTCTCCCGCCCCCGCCTGCCCTCAGCTCGCCAGAGTAAAGCTGCCTCAGCCACACTCCTGTAGCACTATGACATGAATACGATATAAATGGTATGCTCTCCATACACACAACACAAATGTGTTCATCAGGGTGCATAAGGTATGCATACAGTACATCAATATGTGGGGGAAAATCCTGGGAAGTATACAGAGTGCGAAGCCTGTTCACTGCCTTTTCCCAGCAAGACGAGGTGCATAAGTATATTAGTCATTTGCTCTGGTTAACTATATAACTATTCCTCATCCTCTCGCCAAGTAAGCAATTTCATACGGCACTATGAATAGTTTGAACGACATCTGCACCGACAAAATTCCTTAGTAGGCCTTCATTCAGAAGCAGGGAGCATTTGGTCCCCAGATCCGACAGAAAGTGATTTCTCTTTGCGGATTCCAAGCACTCTGACACCAAGCTTGAAGCAGCACCACCCACCCATCAACCCAGCTGCTGGCCGGCACGCCCCGTTCCGATTACACCTGCACCTAAATACAATGAGGTTTCTTGTTGCTCAGACGTATGGAGGACGAATCAGGCGTACGGAACTCTTCGTCCTCTGTACCTTTACTGACATTGAGACCAGTGGCGTTGTCCTGTGGCAAGGATGGTAGCCCTATAGATCTATCGTATGGATCTATCACACTGCGGCTGCTCTCGACGGGAAGGAAAAACACCGACACCTCGAAAACAATATCGTCCAAGACAACTCTTGTCGTTGTGTTTGCAATGCTCGTTTTTATTCTTGACAACTCCATCTACGGAGTACTCTCTGGTGGGATAGCCTGAAATCTTGCATTTTGCTGCAACTAAAGTATTTGGTTTTTTCCTGTGCGCTAACGCCATAGCGGCGGCGCAACATCCATCTTCTCAAACCACCGAGTTCGCTCGGCACAAATTGGGTGATGATCTGTCATATTCCTAGTCTGCAGCACCAGCGCCAATATTGCACTCCCGTATCCCTTCCTGGGATTTAGAAGGTCGATCTTTCCAGTAAAGCCTTTTCCCGGAACTCTGGATAACATCCCGGCCGCCTCATACAGAAGAGCCACCGAATCTCGACGAAACTTTATTCTAGACCTGTTCCATGCATCTAAGATACCTCCAAGACCACTCATGCACTGCTCTTTATCGTCAGCTCTCCGGTCGTAGCCAGCAGTGGCTAGGATATGATGGAAAGAGACACAGCAGGTTGAGGCATAGCGTGGAATAGCGGAGCTAATCTCTATCGTCATTAGTATTTCATGTCGGCCTCTACTACGTAGAGCTGAAACCAACTGATCCACAGCATCGTCTGTCGGGCTCAAGTCACTGTACAAGAGTCCTCTGCAGAAGCATGCGCGACTTCCTGGATTTTCCTGACTCCTGGCCCCTCTTCTTTGCTTCAATGCCCGAGCTGGGGGGGGGGGGGGGGGGGGGGGGGGGGGGGGGCGGTTGTTGAAGAGAGAGAGAGAGAGAGAGAGAGAGTGTGTGTGTGTGTGTTTGTGAAAAAAAAGGCCTATGGGAAGAGGTATGACAGCTGGTGAGGTTCGCCCTTTTCCCCCCAACTTCGATCTGGACTCTAGTTACGGAGTAGACCCATAGGATTGCCATCTATCTCTTTGATGACATCGCTGCTAACCCCTAGTCCAACTCACTAGTGGTGGTGCGATCGAGAGACCCTTGAAATGATGAACATCGACCACTGTTGGTTGCAATCCTTCTTTACGACAACGCCCCCTGCCCCCGCTGATCCTTGACATTACAGACGTGACTCTTCGAAAAATCCATGCATCTGGCCTCACTTATCCTCGGGATTCATCTTTTCTATCAGTCCTTCCTTCTTTAGTCAATTGATTGGGATTGCTGGGTATTTCCTCCGGCTCGTTCCTTGTCCGTCACACCTCGTCCCTCGTTTATTGTTATTACTTTTCGATTTTCATTATTGTTATTATCATTGCCAACTATTTCCACCCCACGACTTCATCCCTCCCCGTTCTTTTCACCAAATAATCGCCATTCTCCCCTCCTCTGATTGTAGCCTGTTTCTCGGAGGCAACCGTCATCCTTCCCTGACCATCCGCCAGATCCGATCCAGCCCAGAACGACATCCCAGTGACCATCAGTATCATGAAAGAATCGGTGCACCGGTTATGATATATTGAGCTGCAATCGATACCTCTGCCCCTTTTTCATTTCTAGCAATCATCAAGGCGGCCTTGGTGTTTCCTTCGGGCTAAAGTCTTATTCGCGTGAGCACTGTTCCGCACATCCCAATTTCGATCTTTGTCCGTGCAGTGCCATAGTCGATTCGATGTTGCTGAGCATCTTCAGAACTTCCTTGACCCATGTCCTGGGGGGTTTCACTCTTCTATCAACATTCATTACCACTATTTTGAATGGTATTTGTTACAGCTTCTCCAGATCTTTATCATCGCACATAGCCTCGGTCGAATCAGCTATTGTGAGCTTGGGCACTATTAACTGTGCAGTAATCACTGCTTTGTTATTTCTCTGGGCCAAAGATGTTAATGCAAGAATGGGAGCACAGTGGAGGAGTCACAGGGCAATTTTCTACAGTCTGATCGCCGTCTACCTCTCCATTGCCACCGGAATCACGGCAGGAGGAATCGCCTGGAGTGCGGTCCAATCTATGACAGGGAAGACGAGCGTGACCCACAAGCACCAGACGCTCATGCTGTCCCGCTGTGTTATCTGGGCTATCTCCGTATTAAGCCAGGGGATTCTAGGTGGCTATCTCCTGACCTCACTGTCGAAACGAGATGCAGGCGGTCGATGGTCAAGCGCGCTCTCTCAGGAACTTGAGATTCTTCCCGATCAAGTCAGTGTTGGCGACAAAGAAGAGGTGGTAAAAGCTCCGTCCATAGTTCTCGAGTCCCAGCGGCCCTCTGGTGAAGGCAAAACAAGCGGCGATATCGTGCCCGAGCTCCAGCCTTCTGCTTCGCGCACAGAGTCTCAGACCTCTAATCGTTATTCCGGCCGGACACTCTATCAGCATGACTCGAAACAAAGCTCTCTTGATCTGCCGCGAACTCACCTGGCGGGTGCTGAGAGTACGGTACCTCGTTATCAAGCAAGGGAACAGCCAGAAAACTTAACTGTTCAACCTGGTGGAAAGGAAGAGCGGAATGAGCCACCTACAATCCGACGAAGCTACTCTGGGCCAAAGCGTTCCTTTGAAGGGTTACCCCGTCAGTCTTCCGTAAATCGATCATCCCCTGCCACGTCTTCCACGCATTTGGCAGCTACTAGTCGACCTGTTCCGCCAAAATTGAAGCTCCCCGACGAAAGCTTCATCCACCCATTGTTTAGGTCCGATAGTGCATCGCCACCCCCAACTCCAATGCCAGGTACCACTGTGATCGCTTCACCGGCAGCTGGGCAGACTATTTCCGTGCAGACATTGAACCGAGTGAGATCCACCCGATCTCTCCGGTCCCATGCGCCCCGAAGTCGATCACCTTTATTTGAGCAAGTGGACCAGCCGCTTGCCGAGCTGGAGCGAAAGTCGGATTCCCCGGAGCCCAGTGGTCGGGAGTCTCCCATGCCCAATTTCATTCTGGCAGCGGATGTGCGAAGCAGTATTACCCGGTATGAGAAGAAATATGACTTGGATGAATCCCCCGACGAGAGCTAGATAGACAAATCCAGGGGATCATGAGGAGAGGACTTGAAGCCTGCGTGGAAGCCTCTCATTTACAATTGTTCTCATTTGTTAGATATCCTCAATATAGCGTTCAATCTGTAGCCCATATATAATGCATGCAATGCAGCCTAAGCTTTAGGAGTCGAATGCGAACAGACTCATCACTCTGAGCTTCGAAGTAGGCATCAATGAGGCAAGCGACCGAAACTCGAGCAGCATAGTGATTTGGGATTTGGTCCCTGAATCTTAAGTGGTAGATAGTATCAAAGTAAGTGATTTCTAGTAAGTAGTATAGACAACGGGTACACCTAACTACCTAGCTGACTGATTTGAAAGCACGAGTGTCCAGAAAAGTGTATTGCCAACAACGTCATGTAAATTATTCAGCAGAACTATGCCAGGGTACTTGACTATCAAAGAGAAGATTTCACGCTCATAATTACTGGATTGTTATATTGTTCTGTTAATAAGATCGAAGTACTGTGGTGTTTAAGTAGTAGTGGTATTGTAGGGAAGTAAATTGTTGAAGGGGGAAAAAAGACTACTAGCTTCATCCCTCCCGTCGCAGCTCTTTTTCCACCCCCCCCTCAGGAAAAAAAAAAAAAAAAAACAAATTGAATCGCCAGCTGGAGACTGCAGCGACTCTTTTTTTCCCCGAAACGTCAAATCCCACCAGATTGCAGCAGCAGCACTCATTCATTCATTTATCTTTCAGCCAGTCAATCAGACTGCAGTATTGTGTCTTACCTCATCTTCAATCTACACAGGGCCAGTGCAATTGACCTGCAACGTTTTCTTCTTCCTCCCCATCAACTTCTTTTTCTTCCTCTTTCCATTTCCTCCTTCGTCGTTTACTTTGCTCTGCTCTTCTGCCTTTTATTCTCTCGTGATATCCTCATCAACTAGTACCTGGTGAATGGGCTCGTTCGGCTCTCTGCTATACTTTCCCTAGTGATCTTTCCGTTTGCTTCGTCTCTTGTGGATTGATTCTATGGAGTGACTCTCCCGTATTGAAGGAGGATCTTGATACTACTACGTACCACGTACGTGCCAGTCCTTCCTTTGGGATCTCGATCGGATCTTGACTCCAGCGGGAGTTACGGAACGATCATCCTACGAGGTGGATTGAATGATCGCCCACGTTCCTATCCTACCTTACGACTACTACCCACCTCCCCTCCCCCCAGGTGCTTATACCTACCCAGGTACTATCTTGTACGAACAGTCACCGTAACAGGCCTTGCAGCGGGCCAACCAAGCGCCGCAGCTGGACGCCCATCGATCCACTTGGCCGAACCTCTTTTTACTTCCCTGATCCTCAACTCACATCAATCAATTCAATCATCATCACCACTTCTAACTACTCATCATATCTCCTTTCATTCCTGTTCATCATTATCTCCAGGTTTCTCCTCTTCCATCGCTGTCGCTGTCGTATTATTCCTTGACTTTTAACTTTGACTGAATTCGGGGTAAGTCTCCAGATTTTTGTCTCTCGGTCCCATTTCCTCCTTCGCCTTGATTTAATCTGCCTTGTCTACTACCACTATTGTCTTCCTTTTTGTCGCTTTCTACCTGCAACGCAACTGCATCATCCACTACCTCTCAATGGCCCTCAATTGCACTGCACTAGCCCCTCCCTTTAAACCCACGACTTACTGGTAAATGTCCGTGTCTCCCTTTTTTGATCGCTCCGTTCATTCCATACCATTCATATCACTTTGTTGTACGCCATGCATCCATCCACTTCCATCCATGCCCGATCTTCCTGGCTAAGGATCCCGTGCCGTGGTGTTGCTGGCTCGGATGCCTGTTCGTCTGCATGTGTTCCTGGCATTGATTCCTCCCAAAATTTCCACAACTGCGACCTTTTTCCTTTCTTTTTCTTTTTCTTTTCGATCAAGTAATGATCAATTACCTTCCTGTTTTCTCTTCTATCCGTCGCGCTCTTGCTTTTATCTTGAATCCGCCAACTCCACGTCCTTGATTCATTCCTACTTCTCACGCCTCTGCATAACCCATCCTGCCTGCAGTGTCCTCTCCACGTTCGTCTTTCACGCCTTCATTCTCCCATGTTTATGGTGGATCTCCGATGAGATATCACCGGCGTAACCCAATAACTTCTTATCTTCGTACTGTTCAAGCAACCGGACTATTGTCTATTGTCGCATCATGTGCATTCCCTACTTCATCCTTGCTTATTGCTTCTATCTTTGGACAAGCAAACACCTCATCGATCTGATTTGGGGTTACCCTTGATTCTCCTTCAACAACTTGCTGACATTTTTCCCTGGTAAAAGGATACCGATGGCGGGAGTCAAGCGGAAACTCGACGCCCCTCCTCAAGGGTCTGCTCAAGCGGCCTCCGGTGGTAGTTCTACGAATCCTAATGCCACAAACAGCACTAGTAGTGAGTCCGTCCTTGTGTCTTCCTTAGCAGCGATTCTAATGTGACTATAGATTCTACTGCTGATGCTACATCTCATGTTCGCGTGACTCGAAGCTTACGCTCAAGTCGAGATCCGCGGGCCACTCAAAATGATGCGCGTAATCACAGCACCGCTTCTGCTATGAGCGGAAGCAGCAGTAGCAATAGCAGCAGCAACAACAGCAACAGCAACAACAACAACAACAACAACAACAGCAGCAGCAACAGCACCAATAGCACCTCATATAGGCCTAATCCTAATCGCCCATCGCGAATTGTTACTCTGAGTACTCGCGTCGCTCGAGCAAACACTGCTGCCCGTGAACGCGAACAAGCAGCACGGGACCAAGCCCTTCGCGAGAACAACGTAACTCGTGAGAAGCGTAGTACTCGGACTCGTGCAAGTGCCTCGTTGCCTTCACATCCAATGGAAGGATCGGTGGCAACTGTTCCTGAGACACCACGGCACAAGCGCGTAAAACGGGGACCCACGATGGAAGAAACGCCAAGAACCACACGACAATCCGCGCGACTCAAAGCGCATGTTCCATCCATTTCGACAGAAGATGGGGCTGCGGATTTAGGTCTGGTGCAGAAGCCGTCAGAGCCAAGCCCTTCAGCAATTGCTGCTCCAAGTAGCCGTACTCGGAATAGAAGCCGACAATTTGCAGACGGTGCCATTGAGACCGCTCGTGGTGGCGCAGGCAATGTGATTGCCCTTGCGATCCCTGAAGCCGAATCGCCATCCCCCGACCGAACGAGCCTTGACCTTGTAGAGGATGTGAAGCCTCTATACGAAGAGCCTCATGTGAGCCCGAAGCTGGCTAAAGAAGAATCGCCCAGGGGGACAGTGGTGGATGACGAGAAAAACGGAGGTAGCGAGCCGACACTTTCTGAAGCTGGTGATTCGGGTGATGTCCCAACCACTCCCAGCCCTCCATTATCCTGGAAACGGGGATCGCCGGAACTAGTACGGAACAGCGGAGCCGGTTCTGAGAATCATCTTGAGTCACCTAGCAAAAAGCCAAAGCTGGAAGAGGCCGAGCCGGATCGTGCCTCGAAACAGCAGTCACAGCCTGTCACAAACGGACTCAACAGTAGACCCGAGACAGGATCTCCCGTGGAAGTTGTTACTGAGTCGAAAGCTGGAAGTCAGACCCGATATGCGGCAGACGAAGTTGAAGGCTCGACACCGGAGATCAGTACGGAGCCCACAGTTTCTCGAGGGTTCCGCGGTGGTCGGGTTCGAGGCAGAGGACGGGGAGGACGCAGCAGGGGAGCCGCGCGCTTTGCAGCCAACAAACGAGGACGAGGTGGTACTCGTAGTGGTCGTGGGCGTGCTGGCCGACAGCTTGACAGATCGAGTGATGTTGAGCCTGACCGCTCACCTTCCCCCAGTGCAGCAACTCAAAGACTTCGCGATCGACAACGTGAGCTAGATAAGGCGTTCAAGAAAGTGGCTGCGGCTCAACGATTGGCTCTAGCGGTGCTGGCTACGCAGTCTGAGAAACGAATTGCGCGAGACAAGAACGCGCACAAGGATGTGCCCGAATTTGAGGAAGTCAATCGTCAACTACAGGAACGGCTACGGCAGAAGAAGGACATTATCCGCAGAGAGTATGAGCTCAAAGTGGAGCAAGAGAATCGTCTGTTCAAGGCCTCCAGAGAAGTACTTGAAGAGCGTTTTCGGGTAGGTCTAGTATCCCTGCTGTATCAATCGGCATCGAGAAAAAGTACTCACAGCCATAAACAGGCATCCGCCCGCGATATCCGGGAGGAGCACTTGATCGCCAGCCAAGGAGCATACATGACTTTCGTCAGAGGCCGCCGTGCTGCGGAAGATGATGAGCACACCGAGGTTGGTAATCTTTCTTGCCCTCACATACTCTCGCCTCGTGCGGAAGGTATGGAATGTGACCTTTGCTGATCATGGGCTACAGACGGACGATTCAGAAACCGAGCCTGAGCGGGGGCCAATTGTGCCACCCGCGCGGGAAGTCTTCAGAGGGTTCAGCTCGTCTTACGTGCGGATTCCCTCCGGAGCGGCAGCATATGAACGTGCCTGGCTTGATTGGGATGATTTTGTTCAGCGAGCTAAAGTCGGCGAGGACATCGACCCGCAGATGAAAGAAATGCGTGAGCCTGGGCCCTTCGCTGGCTTTACTTCAGACGAGGTCATCGACATGCTTGTGAAGGCAACTGGGATAGTGGATGTACAAACCAATCCAACGGCAGGGGAAACGCAATCTCTGGTGCTACACGATGTGCGCCCTCGAGCATTATCAGCCCTGGCGGATATCGCAGCCGCCGAAACTCCTCGACTCCCGATCGCGGCTGCTCCCCGATTCCAGCCAGCTCCCCATCGAACCATTCTCCCCCAACCTGCTCTGGCGCATGGTCCTCCTGGTCCTCCGGGTCCTCCGGGTCCTCCGAGTCATCCGGGCCCCCCTGAGCCTCGAGGCTTTGTCCTTCCTCCGCCAACTCCCCAGCGACAACAGCCCCGACGACTTCTTCCCGCTGGACAGCAGATTCCGCCCATCAATGAGCAACTCGGCCTGCCTGATCCTTTCGCCTCGATGGGAGGACTACCTCGTCTTCCCCCGCCAGGAGGCTCGCACTTTCAGCGGCCGCCTCCACTTCCTGGTTACTTGACTGGACACCATGCTCCGAGTCTCTATTATCCACCTCCACCACCGCCATCTGCGCCTCGTCCTCCGTATTGAGGCGCAGAGCTTGCCCTAGGTCACCGTTTGTTTCTTTTGTAGTACGTGTCACTGAGACCTTCTTATTCATCTGACGTAGATCATATCACCTTTGGGTTACGCTGGGATTTGAGATTTGGGAGTTGGGATTTGGGAGTTGCAAAGCGTTCTTGAGTCTGTCTCGATTAGCAGTCACGGAGGATCCCCTTAGCCGTGCAATAGTGAATAGTTAATCTCCTGTTGAATGATTTATGGCCGAGATTCATTTGTTTATTCATTCAATCATTCATTCAATCATTCCTTCAATCATTTCTTCAATCATTCCTTCAATCATTGAGACCCCCTCCAATTCGGTATGAATCATACTGGGTCATGATGACTCGAGTGACTGTGTATGACTCTTGTTTGTCCGTTTGCCGCCGCCGCCGTCCGCCGCCTGCTTGCCCCGAATCGGGTCTAGTCCGGCGGGGCGGGGATTTCGGCCTGGAAGCTTTTTATTTCCTCGTGCTTTTTCCCTTCCATCGCCCATCAGTTACAGCCTCCATCATTGCGAGTCCGACTTCTACTTACTCGAGCCCAAGTCCTCCCACCCCCACTTCGCTGCTATCTCCAAGCGCGAAGTTTTCTGATCAGTGTTTGTGCGCCCTTAGCGACTCCCGTCTCCCCGATAGTCACTCTTATCCTTCAGCAGCCCCGCCTTTCGCGCTTATTTCCCCCCGACTTCCTCTCGTCCCAGTGACATTTTGCGAATTCCCTGCTCAGTCTCGAGAAGCGCCTTGGCTGATTTCCTCTCCGGCGCAAAGTACAGATCATACAGACACTATTAATACCACCATAGTCATCATAACGACCAGCAAATTAGCATACGAAGCAACCAAGTGATCATGGCTGTCCGTGCTCAATTCGAGAATTCCAACGAGTAAGATCGGCCCAGGCTACGAAAAACCAAACTGTTACATGCGCTGTTATCGCGCTGTGTGCTAGTTGCGATCTTGGTCAATTGCTGATGGAGTCATCGCCAGTGTTGGAGTCTTCTCCCGCCTCACCAACTCATACGCCCTTGTTGCCATCGGCGCTTCCGAGAACTTTTACAGGTTCGTCTTCTTCTTCATAGGTCTCGAGCAGCGGTTTGGCATGGGGCCAGTCAATTAACTTCTTCGCTAGTGTCTTCGAGGCCGAATTGCAGGATGTCATCCCCATTTGTCACGCTACTATTGCCGGTACTCGTATCGTCGGTCGGCTGACGGCAGGGTATGTCAATACCAATAGCTGAACGCGAACCAGGGCACCAAATTATCTGACGCGAAGTGTGCAGAAACCGCAAGGGTCTTCTCGTCCCCACCACCACCACAGACCAAGAGCTCCAGCACCTCCGGAATACACTACCAGATTCTGTAAAAATCCAACGGATAGAGGAGCGACTATCGGCCCTGGGCAATGTCATCTGCTGTAACGATCATGTTGCGCTGATCCACCCCGACCTGGAGCGTGAGACGGAGGAGATGTATGTTCCCCATCTCCATTGATGACCGTTTTCGCTTCAAGAATATCACTAACATTGGCCATCTCCCAGCATTGCCGATGTCCTCGGCGTGGAAGTCTTCCGACAAACCGTGGCCGACAACGTCTTGACCGGCTCCTACATGGCCCTCTCCAACCAGGGTGGTATCGTCCACCCCAAGACCTCGATCCGCGATCAGGACGAGCTCTCTTCTTTGCTGCAGGTGCCTCTTGTCGCCGGTAGTGTCAACCGCGGTAGCCCCGTGGTCGGCGCTGGCATGGTCGTGAACGACTGGCTGGCCGTGACGGGTCTGGATACGACGGCGACGGAGTTGAGCGTTATTGAGAGCGTTTTCCGGCTGGGTGAGATGGGTCCCCGTGGTGTCGGCCAGGGCAATGCCAACAAGGAGAGCATTGTGGAGAGCTTCTACTAAACTTCTCCCTTTTACTTGTGCGATTGTCATGTTGTTTATGAAACCCATTCCCATACACATTCTGAAATATCCTTATTGTGTCATGACTCTGTGCAACCGTGTCGAGCGCGACGGTCTCCTGATTCTGCCAGACGGACATGCATCCTTGTGGTAGATTTCTGCTAGACACTTAGGTAGAACCACTTTGATTAGGAACTGTCGTATTGTTCGCCCAACGGACCCGCAGTAGAAAGCGGACTATTCCTGCGAGATGGATTTCTATATACGTGTGATCTGCAAGCAGAAGCAGCTAGAGTAATGGGAAGAGCGCGGGTGATTTCTGCTATACTACGCATGGAAGGCAAAGGGGAATTGGGTTAAGCGGCACTTGGTGTGACACGGTGAGCTAGAAAAACCTCCCAACCTAGATGCACGAGTTCCACACCTTGCTTTTTGAAAACTCATGCGAGACCAGAGGTCATCCTAATTCGGGGGCTCGCTGGGAAGGTCCAGCCTCCTTGCAACATCTTTGCCCCGCACATGCATCAACTTGTCCTTATATGCTGTGCATTATAGCTGGTCTCTTGTCGTTATATGGGGATGACACATTTGATTACGGCACGGCTTCCACCAACAGCTCTTTTCTTTTTCCGGTTGCGAAGGGGGTATTCATGTAGGGGGCGAGGATGATACACATAAATTTAGAAAGGGAGTCAAGCTAAGAAGGAGAGCGAAAAGAAAAAGTTCCTGGGGTGAAAATGAAAGGGAACATCGCCGAGTGTCTAGAATCAGCCGGAAAATCTGAAAATTAAGAGATGAGGAAAGAATTTGAGGAAGAAGGAGGTTAGGTTAAAGGAGAAAAAGGTATAGGGAATCATGGATATAGAAAGGGGAATGAAGGGGAATAAGAAAAGAAAAGAAAAGAAAGAAAATAACACAGAGGGAGAAAGAGAGAGAGACAGAGAGATAGTAGCGCCCAACCAACCAACTCCGAGAAACACCGGTCCGGATGCTGTTGTTGCTATGAAAACGACAAGAAAAGAAAAAACGTTGATGGCCAATTGGCAGTACCAATGGGAGCTAGGCCAATAAATGCACTCATACCGTCAACCTCGTTCCCGTCCGTCCCATAACCCTCAGCCGTCTCGTCTAACAATGCTATACGCGCCCTTCAATGCCAAGCTGTGATGATTGAAGCTGGGTTCCTTCCCCTTCGTTGTGATGGCCATGCTCGGGAAGCGGTGGTGGTGGTGGAGGGGCAGGGGGCGGAGGGTTTGAGGTTTGCCGGTCGGCTAGAGTGAGTTCGTCGCTCTCGCTCTTCATGTTGGCATCGTCGCCACTCAGGCTCTGTTTGTACTCATCTTGATCATCCTGCGCATCGTCGTGCTCGGGGCTAATAGGCGGAGGGGGAGGCGGAGGTGGTGTAGAAGAACGTTGCCGTTTAGAGGAAGATGGCGTGGCAAAATTTCTCGCATCGCCAGCGCTCGTCTCCGCTTGCCTCTTCCGTTTCAGAGTCCCCTGCATCTCTTCTGTCGGAGACATATTCGTGCATCTCTCTTGCACCAGTCCGTGATGTTCGTATTCATCATCAGACATTCTCACGTCGAGATCTTCCTCCGCTGGGCCGGCAGCAGTCAGAACGCCTGGCTTCGATTGTGCTTCCTTTGATTGCCGTTCCGCCTTGCGCTCCTCGTGGGCTCTGTGCTTAGCAACTGCCTTGTCGAAGAATTCCTTGCAGAAGTTCTTGACTTTCTTCTGCTGCCTCTCGTCGATCTTTGTGGGATCTTCGACACGGTTGTTTTTGAAGTCTGAGTTCACCAATTTCTTAGCGACCTATTGTAAGAGATCTGGTAAGCATGTCTGCATAGCTTTCACGGGGCCAACAGATAGTCTCACATCTTTAGCATAACGTTTCAGATCATCCTTGGGAAGTTTGTGCTTGAACTTGTCTACCACGTACTTGACATGGGGGAACAACTTTGGGAAAAGATTAGCATCCGTTCGTTAAGCTCAGAATCACAAGACCGAGGATAAAGGAAAGAACGCACCGTATTTTCGTAGATCTTTTTGCGCTTCTCCTCGCTCAAACTTCGCCATTTCTCCTGTCCTTCTTTCTGGTCTGGAGTTGCCTTCGAGGTCTGCGGGGTGGCCGGCGTGCCGGATTTCTCCTTAGGCGTATGCTCTTTGGCGTTCATAATCCCATCAATGATGTCCTGTAACGCCTTGTCCCGCGATTCCTTCAGTGGCGCGGCCGGTTGAGGCGCGGACACGGTCGGGCGTGTCCAGGTCACCTCGCCTCGAGCCGAGTAGAAATACGTTCTTCCGTTGGATTCAGCAGCGAACCATCCTGGAGGAAGAGGGTTGAATTGACGACGGAAGGGCCGAGGTCCATTGTGAAGGGGACCTCGCGGCACATGGCCTGCCCGTTGAGCAGCAGGACCGCGTGGCGCGTCGATAGATTTCGACCTTGATCTAGACCGGGACTTGGACCGTCGTCGTTCGTCACGAGTGGTTTCACGGCGCTCAAACTGGTTGAATGCCTGCGAAGTGGCATTGGGGTCTCTTTTCATTCGAGGAATACGGTAACCCACTTCTAGCGTTGACCAAATTTGAAGCAGCATGGCTGCCTTCTTTTCAACACGCTCATCACCACAACTGGTCAAGGGTTGAATGGTTGACTCAATTTTGGAGTCGAGGATCTTGTTCCGCGTCAGACGTGGAAACTTGTCCAGGATGTCCAGAATCTGGAGTATCACGTTGAAATCTTCCTTCCACAAGCCAAGTTGTGAATTCAGGATTTGGTAACCATGCATCTTCACCACACGGTTGGAAACCCGCTCGTCTTCGCAACGCTGAATACGGCCCAGTAGCTTGACGGCAATCCATTTCTCCTTGCACTGCATCAAAGCAGCCATGACTTTGGTAACCCCGTTCTCATCCAGGGATTTGGGCTGCACGCTGTCAACATACTCTTCATCATCCTCGCCCATCTTCTTTTTGCGCGGCCGCTTTGCGACAGCTGTATCCCAGCCATCTGAATCCTCAATGCCCAAAGCCTCAATTGTGGCATGAGATAGTTTAGTGGCTCGCTCGGTCTGGGTTCTCCCGCCGATGAAACCTGTGCAATTTGGTTCTCCACAGTAGCACGGTTGAGGATCGGCTCCGTAACGGTCGACATTGTAGTTGAACACCAGCTCCTCTCCAGCTCGAATGTGGCGCTCAGCAAATATACCCATTCGAAGCTTCTCCCCTACCACCCATTTGTCGACATAACAGTTTGGATTGCAAGAGTGGTTGCAGAACCGACCTAGATTGCCCTTTTTCGTTGCATCGACAAATTCGCCTTTGCTGAGGGACATGAAGTAGAAGTGCTTGATACCTTCTTCATCATACTGCCTCATACGGCGGCGAAATTGGGTCTCGTTAATGACTTCGCCCACATACTCAAAGATGAACTGGTGCGGTCGCAATTCGGCCTCCGCTCGAAGGCCAAATCCTTTCTTTTCGGTCTTGATCACAGCCACCGGGGCATATTCTCGTTGTTGGAAGCGTTGGTTCTGGCATTCGGGCCCGCAGCCGCAGTCGCCCATACATTCAATTTTTGTGGCGCGGTTGATACAGTCCGAATCCTCGCCACAGGCCAAATTCTTTGAAACTGACGGTTCTGCATCGGAAAATTAGTGCCTCCTCGCTTGTATGAGCTCTGAAATTGTAGAGAAATAGTCATCTACATGTTTCAATAGAATCTTGCAGGGGGAAGAAGGACGGAGAGCTGGAAAATAAAAGCTAACGGATTGGTGTGGTGTGCCTAGACGGAAATATCTCGACCTGTTTGAGGCGGGGATCCGAGATGCAGCGCCACGCGTAGGAACCCGCCGGCGGAACAAGAACCAACAACAGGCGGCATGGAAAATTCGGTGAAAGTGAAACCTGGAGAAACCAAGAAGAAAACTTACCCCATTCTTCCGCGCAGTCGCATTCCATCGCATGTTCGGTATAACCCATGTATTTATTGGCATATGTGCAAGCCTCCATGACCTCGAATGTCTCTTCGGCTTGCGCCGTGCTATCTGGGAGATGCGAAAATAGCTGCGGTGGCCTTGCTGCAACCTTCTGCGAGGAACTGCGTGTCAACTTGGGAGGCTGACCGGGTTCGAGTTTGACCAAAATGTCACCTCCGACTTTTTCCTCCATGTCACCGGGTTGAATCTCTTCCGTGGCTTCGACCTTTACGTCCCTGCTGTTTCGACTGTATTGGAAACCACCCTCTTGTTCTTTCTTGAGCGGCGCCCGTGAAGCAGACCGCGATTTCGGGGGTGCATGGGTGTCCCGTGAAGCCTCAAGAGAGACGGCGTCGAAGTCCGCGTCGGACTCGTGCTTGCTCATGATTCCGCCGCCGTTGATTGTTGGAGTATCGAGGGTTGCGTCAGAATCCAGCTTCATCGCGGTCACCGCATTCGCAACAGGTTCTGACTGACGGTCCGCGTTGTCATGAGGGGACATGACGACACGGACGGAGCGCGCAAATAATCAAAGCCAGCTGGGGGAATGCGCGAGGATGAGACCGATTACCAGCGCGTGGTAGTTGGCGTGAGAGGATGTCCTGGATCGCGGAATAGATGCCGGCGGAAAAAGGGGAATATCGAAGTCAAACAATAATTTGGGTAAGAAGCAGAAAAACCCAAGAACATCAAGAAAGTTCAAAGGAGGGTTTTGCAGTGAGATCTGGAAGAAGAAAAAAAGGCGGGCAGAATAATTGGTGTGAGGAAAGCAGAAAGCAGTGCAAGTCGCAAGCCAAAGCAGCAAATCGTCCACGTTTTCCGCGGGTGCCAAGAACCATCGAGGACACAAAGTCATGTAAGGGAGACTTAAAAGAAGAACACCTCTCTCTCTCTCTCTCTCTCTCTCTCTCTTCTCCTTCTTCTTTCACTCTTTCCTTTCCTCTCCGGCCTTTCTTATTCACTTTCTCTTTATTCTAGCGATCAACAAGACGTTAACCTGGCTAATAATGGTACACTTTCCCTCTACCTCCTGCATCCATATTTCATCCTCAACTTGAGAGAGACCAAACCCATTTATTCTCCTTCATCTTGGCGAGAGAAATCTATTCCGGGCGATCGAACCCCAACGGCCTTGAGGATTGAGCAGCACGTTCATAGCCCTGTCAGATAAACCAGGTTCAGGCGCGAGCAATGCTCCCACCCCGGGCTGCTCATGGCAAGGTCAAGATTTACTCAGACTTCACCCACTCGCAAATGTCTTCTCTTTCTCCAACGACCTCAACGTCGAGTTTGATTTGAACTGTCGACATGGTCAGCTAGCGGCTGGCCGGACCTCCCATGATAGGCGTTGGTGAAAGCATGAGTTTATAATGTAAAGTCAGCCACTCATGCTTGGTACTGTGCTTCCCCTCTCTGGTGTTGATATCTGTCAGCATGCAATTACGTTGAAGTTGGACCGAGGGGATTCGCTTTATGGGTGGAGTGGTCATCACTGAGGTGTTACGGTCACCCTCAAAGACCATCCTCACACATACTGCAGTGCATTCACAGACCAATCAAGAGTAGTAATTATAGTAGACATCAAAGTTTGACTGAAACAGGACTTCATCCCGCGACCTCTACTCTTTCTCTCCTCAGGAGACGAAGACGCCACTGCACAGGCTCGGTAGTGGGTAGTTCAAGAGGGAGCAAGCCAAGGAACCAGTCTCAGGGACAGTAGGTAAAATACCAGTATAGGCTGGAAAGCTATATACTGTACTTCATCCTTAGCTGCAGAGGAAGAGCTCCGACCATCCAACCAGGTTGCGGTAGGCTTGCGTGTGGCTTGAAATCATAGGCCATGAGAAGTCCAAATCATCAGTGCTAGAGCTATAGTAGGGTCTTGCTTCTGCAGCCCACTATCTTAGATGCCCCAAGGGTAGGCGGAGGGGGGGGTGGGTTTTGGAAGGGGAAACTCAGTTCGTAGAGAGTAGGGACCGACTTCTCCTACGCACTACGGCGAAATATTCGAGTACTTATCAACTACTCCGTATCGAGCATCTTGATCCTCCCTAGGTATGCAGTAGATGCCGCAGGCGACAGAGCTAAGTGAAAGGCACCGAGAAAGCGACAATTCCGAACGATCAATCAAGCTCGATCATTTTAACATTCTCATTCTTTCGGTGGGCGGTTAGCGATTGGACGGGGTAATCGGATTTTGACATGGTGCATTATGCACTGCTGCTCGATCTATAAGCCAGCTTGGAGAGTGCACAGCGGCGGGGGTTTTTTTGTCCCGTTTTTGATTTTTAGAGTGTTAAGACTGTTAGTAGTTAATACTACTTACTCCGTAGTCTGTCAATAAGCGGCTGAATGTGAGTACGACATTATCGCCACAACGACCTTCTCTTCTTGTGGTGGGGTAAAGAACGAGTGCTCACACTTTTAGCACTCGATTGAATTAGCTGTACCCACATAGTGGGCTAATCGAGATATAAACATGCATGAACGGGTGGTGTCGCGAGACGAGTGAAGATGAATCAGTCAAAGATGAAGGAGGGGAATTTCAAGGAGAGATCGGGGAAGGGGAAGAAGTTTTGGAAGTCTCTTTTCTTGGGATTTCGCCTGGGCTTTACGGCGTACTCCCGTACACAGTACAACTAGTGCCGGGATTACCCAAAAAGGAATGACGCCGGTGTCAAGTACGTAGTATGATTAGATTCTTAGCTTTGATTGTTGTTGAGTGCTGACCGTCAGTCCCAGTTGGCTGGTAACTGGTACTTGATGATTAAATTCTGGCCCCTTCAATTCGCCCTTAATGTGGGACTTGGCGAAAGTCACCAGCTCCTTAGTACTCTGGAGTGATCAAATCGACTGCAGCCCATAGGAAGCTTTCCTGCCTACGGAGTAGTACGGAGCAGTCAGTAGAGTTACTTAGTCCAAGTAGACACTGACAGTCTGAGACAGTCATACGGAGTAGTACTAATAGTACAAGTGCAACGGGTACCTGAGATGTGGGGGCTGTCACGGTTTTTTTTTTTTTTCCACCTGCCAACATGACAACGGTACTCGGTACATACCACGAGTACGAGACTACGAGTAAGATACTGTGTACTATGTACGGAGCGGATATTGTACCATACTTCAAAGACTGTACCTCATACATACAGCACATAAGCACGAAGCACCCCACTGCGTCACAGGTTCCTGTGGCCGTCCCCATTTTTGTACTTCGGTTCTTCCAGACTTTGTTCATCCTTTCCCTCTTGAGTTCTCCATCTATCCCACCCCATCTCATGTGTTTCACTTATATATCTCTTTCTTCCATGAGCCAGTCATCCTTTCGTTACAAGGGAAATACTCATTCTCCAGCATCGGATCGCACAAGTAGCTGAAAGCTGAGAGGTTGATTTTTGGGGGCGGAAACCCCACCCCACCCCGATCATCCAAGAATCTTAAGACTACATACATTTCGGACGGTTGATTCATATGGGCGGGGCCTTGCTCCCCCTCCCCCTTCTGCGTGCATGGTTCCTATGCATGGACCATTATCTGTCTCGATGAACTCATTAGACCACCTTATGCTGCAGAGCGCAGGCCATCTTCGCAGACCATCTTCGCTCTCGATTCATCATGGACAGCTACTAATAATATCTGCTGCCTGTTTGGTCCATCCGACCATATTATTGACCCGTCATAGGAGCCAGTGGCAAGATTGACCGGTTCCTCACCAAGAAGCGCCGTCGATGTACGAGTGCTAGCAGTAGTAGTAATACGCTCCCACTACTTGCAGTCCACAAGCGCCCCGGTCAAAGACTCTTACCAGTTCGCTTTACACTACTCCGTACATCGTTCTGATGCTTCCCGTACCTGCACGCCTTGTCCGATACTCACTAGACGGGATGGCAGGCTCTTTAGGTATGATGAAGCCAGCAGTGACAAGGGAAAAGACCCCTGTTACCCCCGAAGATACTACAATAAAATCTTATTTCACGCCTTCAACCGTGAGCCTTGTGCTCTTTGCAACGGGGTATTGGTTCAGCTCTATTATATGAATGCCTTGCCCCTACCGTCCTCATATTCTTCATGTGTTCCACCTTTGCCGTGCCTTTCCCAACTACTATCTATTAATCAAGGCAGCCTCGCCCCGTCCCCATGCACCATACATTGCACATACAGTTTGATCTCACCAAGTTTGACAGACTGTTCAGATCGGGTTTATCACGGTGGGTGAAAAGAGGAATGAGAGGACGAGGACAGAGCCAAGTACTCAGTAGGGACCCGTACCGGTCTGGCCGTTTCGGAACATCCTTGCAGTTCTCGTTCCATTCATTATTGCCTTCTACACTAACTAACGGGACCCATCTATTTACCCAGCCTCCAGGATTTTACTTCTCGTCTGCAGAGCCTTTCACCCCACCACTGCCTTTATCAAGCACATCCGCCACTATCCATTTTCTGCCAGTCATTACAGTCTGCATTCCCGCTATCATGAATGAGGCCATGCATATCTCTTACATGCGCTGTGACTTACTTCGAGATTCTAGATTACAGCACTCGGACTGCCAGTCACGCTGACGGCTATGGTTTATCCCCAGCTCATTCTCTATGGGATTTTCGACTTGGTAATCCTATAGCAACGTTTGCTTCCTGTCTCCGGTCCACTGTCTCTCGACCGAACCAGTCCATCGGTGCGTCTGGGTCTACGGTATTTCGCTTACAACCCATGTTCTGGAGACCGTATGGAGACCGTACAGTTCCTATGGGAGGGGTCTTTTCGACCCAGACGATGATTGAACCTTTGATTTAGAACTGTCAAGCTTCTTCGCATCTCACGGTTATGGCTCAACTTTTCTTCACATCTATGGATCATCATCCATTCCCATGGTAATCATTAATTCAATCGCAGACAGGGCTCTAAACTTTGGTCCCATCCCGTAGTCTGGGTGTACAGCAGTAGCCGCAGGCTGTTCTCGCATTACTTCTTCATGCCGAGCCTGGCTAGGTCCTGTGCCCCCCCCTAACACTCTTACCCGGCCAGGTCCCCCCATGGTGTTCCAGCAACATGCACCCTTAGCTCTCTTCCTATGCTGTTCCATGTCCCTCCTGGTCTTTTTCGTCTTCTCGCGGCCCGCCCAAGGCTACTGCAGCCCCTCCCTAGTGAAGTATTGTTTGATTTCTTCAATTCCTGTTTCGTTGCCGGGGTTTAGACACTTGCGTCTTGAATTGACCTGAAACCATCGTCTACCAAATACTATACTGTTCTCGGTAGGGCCCCGATCTAGACCCGTTTCAGACTGGCTGGTGCTGCTGTCTTTCACTCGGCCTGAATCCTGCGCCCTGACCCATCGTGGTTCCTATGTATTGTTTCTGAAAGATCGTCTTCGGTTGACGGACAGTGAGCATCCCGGAAAGGAGTCCCTGCAGCTTTCCTCTCTCCCTCCGGCCACATATTTGTGGCAGCTGCAGTACTGTCCTGCGCGGTTCCGAAGGTGAAAAAGTCCGTTTGGCCAGAGAAAGTCCTTGGGATGATACAGTGCAACTCGACGACTGGTCCAGCTTCTCTGTTTCTTCCTTTCCTTTTCCTGCACTCCCTTCCCTGTCCATCTGTGGTGGTGCCGATATGCGCCGTTGAAACTGCTCCCCTTTCAGATTATCTCGTTCGATCTCCAAGGTTGACATCTGATATCTCTCCTCCGTGGGGGGGGGGGGTCCCGATCCACCTGTGTTCAATCGTTTGACTGATTCCAGTTTTTGATTTTCTAACCCTTCGAGAGTTTTCCCTTCTGTCTTTGTCCTTTGCGGTAGTGTATAGCGAACATCAATTCCGTCGGTTTTTTCCCACTCTGGTGCTTAGACACACTTCCATCGCCTGGATTTGCCTGTCTAAACCGCTTCTCTCATTCGCCTTGCATGACCTTCGCTATTCCAGCTTCACGTTTCTTATGCGTCCGTTCTCCAAAATTGTCATTCTTTTGACTTCGATGTCTATTCTCCATTATCTGCGCGTCGGCCCCGTATCCTCCCCTTCGTCTGCTGACTGTTGTTAGTCTGATTGTCGTCCTTTTCTTTGTCTCCGATTGCGGTGTGTTGAACTCCTCTTCCGCGCTTCTTTCTGAGCACTCACATACTGCTCCTTCGCTGTAGACGCATCATTCCTTTTGGGAGGCTCTTTTTGATTTCGTTACGACTAACATTCCGTTTCCTGTTCTTCAATCGTTGATTTTCATTTCATTTTAGTTATTTTTCATTTTTTCTTGTTTTGTTTTGGCCTCCTAATTAAGGTAAATCTGTTTCTTGGTGACGGCCGGGCACTTCAACTCAACTGCGCCGCTCTTTGCACCCTCTCGTGGTAGGCTCTGACACTGCTTGTGTACTTTGGACCTTCAGGGACGCGTGACGCGTCACTCTTCACAGCTTGTGCTATATTGCACGCTCGGAAACTCGATCTCACTTCAATTTTTGTCATTCGAGCCGATTCTACGAGACAAGCACTTCTTCCCTGCTTCCATGGTCTACTGGACATGTCGAATTTAGCAGAGAGGCCATGGAACGAGGAGGAGAAGGTACGAAGCTGTCAATCCTCCCCATCTATCCTCTCTTTTTATCTCCGGTGCTTTTGACCTGGTTGAACGCGGACGTTCGCTGCTCTTGTGACCTTGGAAGAGAGCTAACAGCAACTCTAGTACACATTACTTACCGAGATCTTGAAGAAGGCCAGAGTTCCCTCAAGCCACCTAGTGAAAATGATCCGGGAGTTTGGTATCACGCCAAGCTGGACAGACATTCCCTTGCCTCCAGGTATAGAACTGCTATTCACCCTATATCAGCGAAGGTTCAGTCCGATTGGGCTTGTGTGCTAGTCACACTAGGCCAGAGAACCTCCTCTAATTTATGTTTGTAGCTAATTGCAGTCAATTTAGGTCGCTCACTCAACTCGTGTCAAATGGCATTTTACAACATGTCTCAACAGGTTCCCGTATCTGCCCATCCTGGCCGTGGGCCGGCTCCTCATGCCCACGAATCTGCACCGCCGTCAACAGCGCCCTTGGATCCAAGTGCTTTGCGTAAAAGACCTCTGTATCCATTAGATAGAGCGGTCCGTGCCCCTCGCGCAATTCAGCCACGCCCTACGACCAGTACTGCTTCTTATAGCAGCGAAAGCGGTGCCTCGGCCCTACTGTCTCCCAGCTCGGAGAACATTACTGTTAAAGGAGAACCTCCGCGAAAAAGAGGTCGCCCAAGCAAGGCTGAATCAGAGCGACGCAAGGCGGCAGCTGAGGCCCGCGGGGAAACCTATCCCCCACCACGACGAACTGGCTCTAGCAAGGTGAAGTTGCCTTCTGCACCGACGAGTCCTGCCTCGCTAGGGCCCGGGGCACCTCTGTTTGGTTCTCAGGCTGTTGGCAGGCCACCACACCCGTCCCCTTCTTCCGAGCTACACTACCCTGCTCAGCCCAGGCGGCCATTGTCGCTAGGAGGAGCGATAGGTGATACACGATTGCAAGAAATGCCAAGCCAGGATCTGATGCCTTCAATGCGGGAATTGCCGCGCCCCACGGAAATGAGGCAGACGCTCCCATCGCCACAAGCGCTACAATTAGGACAAAGGGAACCGATTCCAAGAAGAGAAACGGGAGACCGGTTATTTGAGCCCCTTCTTCCTGATAGGACTTCATTCGTGGAGGGCAATCGAAGAAATCTCATTCATCCTCTCGCCAGACGTCCCGAGGAAGCGCATGGCACAGTTTCAGAGTTAAGTTCGGCGGAGAATCGATCTGAATGATGCACAATTCTGGAGGAAGTGACGACAGATTCCATCTCAGAGAGCATCAAATCATGATTAATGATTGTATGTCATTCACAATGGACAGTATATGCCTTTTCGAAATCAATGTCATGAAGCAGGTTGAACAAGGTCATAAAAGACAACCCAGTCATATCGATGCACGTGACCAGCGCAAGAATTATTACAACTACGTGCAATTGTCGTTCTGTACACGAACCACGAATACTTCCCTTTTTAAACGCGCTAGCAAATTACTTCCTTTCCTAATTCCATTTCTGACGATAAGACCTCGAATCTTGATGCCATATTTGGACGGATATGTCCGATCTGAATGAGGCATCTTACGAAACGGTTCTGATGTGCCAAACATGTTCCTGAATTCCTTCTTTGAAACAGGGGATGAGGGCATGTCACAAGGAAATTATCTTACCAGAGCGTTTGTCTACGTATATGCATCGATGACAATTGATGAATTTACTCCACAAAAAAAGAATATTGTTCCATGCCTTCAACAAGCCATGATCAGCAGTCTTACGAATGATATGATATGAAACTAAAGGTCCTCCTGTTGCTGATTCGCAAGTCATGGTTCTCTGGCCTCCTTTACTATCATCACCTTCGTTATGCCTCGTTATGTCTTTCAATGATGTCCTTTTCAAGGCGCCAACCTCCTACGCACTTCTTCTATGTTCAATACTTAACTGCTTGTATAAAACTAATTCCCGCACAGTGTTATATATGAATACAGCATTTGATCCGGTCTATGATAATATGGAGTCACCTTGCACGAGGAAATCCACACAGCAGGCCCAGAAAGTTGAGTGTACGGCAGGAAGGGGTAAGGGGGGCGCACAGCGCAAACGAATCCATGTGTAGATACGATCCACTTTCCTTGTTGTGAGGTACAGCGAACGCTATTGAAATGCTACACTCATTCTCTGGTGGCCCCGCAGCCTTTCTCACTCAATCGAGTATGTCTCGTAATTGAGATGCAGAGAGTTCAGTGTGCATTGCTTCCGTAGCGGTGATCCCGGTTGCAGTAGCCGACGATGTCACATCCATAGAGTTCGGTTTACCCTGTTGTTCCAGTTGCAGCCTGATCGCACTCACGGCGGAAGCCAAGCTGGGGCCAGGCATCCTCTTTACACCATACATTGGCCCCAATCTTGTGGCACTCTGGCCCACCAGCTTCATCACATCGTCCTTGCCTTCCACGCGACGGGTCAGGTACACCTTGGGCTCACTGCCCTGCCGAGGGAGGCTGTGCGCTCGGATTCGCTCGATTTCCTGTCGGTATGCAATCTCGTAGATGTCAAATTCCGCAGCACCCGGAGATTCGCTCACAACAGGATAGGCCATGTCGGTGTCCAGGTTAGTATGCATGTCGTTTACCATATCGACTGACTCCTTGGCCACCGGACTTCCTGGCTCCTCTGGGATGGAATTGTCTGCTAAAGTTTCGTGTCCTTCGCTTACAAGTAAGCCGCTGTATGTCGAGGGTCCAATGAAAAGGAAAGGAAATTCTTCTTCAAGAGGGTCGCGTGCATGTCCGCGTGTTCCCTCAACGCTACGCTTCGTTGTGGCTGAACTCGCTCGGGATAGTGGGACTAAAGGAGACGGAGATTGGGGCATGGAGATGAGTTGCAGGTCGTCATTAGATCCCCCATGAACATTGATGCTGCGTAGGGAGCTCGAGTCTCTTCTCTCAAACTCAGATTTCGTGTCAGTCCCGCCTATGTTGCTGGTGGTTGACTCTTGTGTATGAAGTACTTCAGGAGTGTCTGATAACCGGCTATCGGGTAGTTCTTCAGGCTGACTATAATTTCCTTTCAAGGCATGGTGCTGCCCCCAAGCTGTGCTGCTGTATGTGTTCAGACTTCGATTTTTGGTCTTCGCGCCCGTGTGACCGGTCGAGAAGCTTTCCTCAGGCTCCAATTCAAGTGGAGGTTCTACGAAATGAGCCTCATATTCCTGACCGAGAATGCTTTGCATTGAAGGATCAGCCTTTGCTGGGCCGAGGAGCCTCTTGAAGTGCTTCACAGCTTTAATCTATGTTGCGTTAGGAATTCCCGATGCGCCGACGGAAGAATGGAAGAGGAAGATCATATAGAATACTAACCACGGCCATGACGTGCCCAATAGTCCTAGTAATCGCTGAATTCATCTCCTCCTCGGTGGGAAGGTCGATTATCTCAGCCGTGTTCTCACTTTCCGGCAGAAGAGGGTCCAACCCATCTTGCGTTACCCATGGATGTTCCTGTGAATTCCTACATGAGCAAATTGACTTCTAGGCACGGCTATATACGCGCCCAAACTTACTCGCAACTCATGCATCTGGATCCGTTTCGTTGGGTCCTTGTCAAGGATGCGAGAGATTAAATCTCGGAAATTGTCGTCGGTTTCACCCTCACAGACTACTGCGTCGTTCTTGATGGCTTCGTAAAGTTCGAAAATACTTTGTTTCTCGAAAGGGAGCTTTCCATAGCGTAGACAGTACAGAGTGACGCCCATCGACCATATATCTGCCGCTTTCCCCGAGACATCGCCGTGCTTCACGACACATAACTCCGGGGGAAGAAAGGCAGGAGAGCCCGCAGATTTCGCCGTGTACATATTCGAGTCCTTTTCGAACATCTCAGAGACTCCAAAGTCAACGACTTTCAGGACGTCGTCATTTGTTACGAGACAATTGTCTGGTTTGATATCTCGATGTACGATACCCTGAGCATGAAGATACTCTATACCCAGGATTAAGTCGCGAAACCAGCAGCGACAGAGAGCGTCATCGTATGGGTCGGCTCTTTCTTCGAGGCTAACTTTCATGACCACGCCTTTCTTGCACATCTCCATGACTATATATAGAGAGTCTTGCGTGGGATCATCTAAGACCTCTATCAGTGAGACGAGATTATTATGGTTCAATTTCTTCATAATTGCGATTTCCTCCTTTATCAAGTATAGGGCATTCTGCTTCTGGTCCTCCACCCCTGCTGAGTGGCAATGAAGCGGGGCATTTAAGCCATCGGAAGGACGCTTTGGACCGCGCGGTCTCCGCAACAGATGAGACTGGGCCCGTCTCCTGAGACGAGCTTTTGAGAATTCTTTAACGGCCTGTTTCGTTGATTGTGTCAGTCACGCGAGTATTCGGCTTATAACGCATGTATAGGCTGTTGGTTTGAGGATCCAAAGAGCAAGTCCGTACATATTCGTTTCCAAATTGATCAACCGCAAGGTGCACTGCCCCAAAGGAACCCCTACCAATTTCCTGCTTGATCACATACTGGTTGATTCTGTGTTCAGCAGTTCCATCGTCCTGGCTCGTAGTGTACTCCGAGCGGGCATCAAGCGTTTCCTACTGGAATAGTCAGAGAATTTGCACAATGGGAGCTGGATCATAGATGTGAGTCTTTCGGCGTGACTGAGGAGACTCCCGAATTCGTTACCTTTACAGGCCGCCTGACGATTGGATTTCGGCGATGATGTCTCTGCGGGCTGCCATATGATGGCGTTGACCTAACCAATGACTGTGTGTCAGGACCCAATCCATGGAGAATGTTGCAAAAAGCGATGGGAGAATAAATCCACCTACGCAGAACGAAAGGGGCAGGGTTGTGGCATCGGAGGTTGTTGGATCAGCTCAGGTCTTTCGCGGGCCATGTGAAGTAGGAGATGACGTTACGACTGAGGCAAAGACTGCACGATCCTGACAGGATTATGATCAAAAGCCTGCTGAATTGTGGGTGATACGAGAGGGTGAGTAGGGAATCAACGGATGTCTTGGAGGGGCTTTTTTGTTTGTGAGGGAGAGGGGGGAGAGAAGAAGACCGGGAATTGCAGGCTGGCGATAAGCACCGCAAGCGCCTGGTGACGAAGGAGAGCAAGAGATTCACAAAAACAGTCCGGTCAAGTAAAAGACCCAGCTCGCAAGTTGTCGAGGTCTAGCAACGTTTGCAGAGCTCAAGAAGCAGCAGAGACAGCCTGTTGGGTGTTGTTGATTGGAAGAACAAAAGAAAAGAAACGGGTAACGATTAACGGAGGAGGGGGAAGCCGATGTGAAATACAAGCAGAGATCCTCACTCTGCAGGCTATAGGGCTGAGTTTATTTCGATCGGAACAATCATTCTGATTGAACTAATTCTTTAAAGAGACCTATGAATAGATATCCATAATATTAGTAGTGTTATTATGAAAATGGCAATGATTTTTATCTAGTTAATTACACTACACATACAGTATCATTATTTGTATAGTACTACATACTTACCGAACCCGAGCACGATTCGGTCCTTATCGATAAGAGACCTCGATGGTGGCCCTCACCGCTCTTAAGCTACCCTCACAGCAACTTGTTCTGTCTCTTGTGCATAATCTCGCTTGACCTTCCGACCAACCTTCACCACCTTTCTCACAATCAATAAAACCCAAATCCCTCTCTACCTGGACCCCATTCTTGTCAAATAATCACGGCCCCACCTTTCTGACCCTTGCCGACATGGTCGTATATTCCTTCTATATATTCGATCGGCACGGTACGGTACCTTTCTCCGCTTCCTCGATTAGATCCTCCCCCCCGGAGTTTCCCACATGCTGACTCCAGCCGTCCCTTTCGTAGCGGAATGCATCTACAAAAGACGTTGGCTTCCTCGTCCAGCCTCGATCACAGGCGGCAAATCTTCACGGCCTACCTCAGAAGCGTCCGCGCCGGCTACCAGCACCCCTGCGCTTCTTGGTCAATCTGCGCGGACGACCGATGACGATGCGAAGTTGATCTTCGGTACTGTGTTTTCGCTGCGCAATATGGTCCGCAAACTGGGGGGAGAGGATGACAAGTAAGGTTACTATGCACAAGGCGCGGCCCTCCTCATCTGACCGGTCGTCCACATCCAGCTTTGTCACCTATAAAACGAGCCAATATAAGTTGCACTACTATGAGACGCCGACCAATATCAAATTCGTCATGCTCACGGACATCAAAAGTCCAAGTATGCGTATTGCACTGCAACAAATCTATATCAATCTTTACGTCGAATATGGTCCGTCATGCAACTTTCTCATCGTCCTGGATTCAGCCAATACTAATACTCAGGTGGGTACCGGCAGTTGTCAAAAATCCATTGTCTCCCGTCGAGCATCCCGGCGGGGTGGGTGTCAACAATGAGCTGTTTGAGGAGTCACTGGAACAGTTTGTGGTACGTACCAAGTCAGTTGAACTACAGAGATATCCTCTGATTACATTACAGACACGAGTTTTGTCATGAACCGTCACTTAACGCCCATTGAGATCGTGACCACACGTACATCAGACATGGATTCCGCTTTACTCCAAAATTCAACACCCGAAAGCCTCATGAGTCGTTGATACGGCGCGTCGTGCAGTAAATTTCACCAATTCAAGCGACTGCGCTGCGGTATGAGCTGAATTGCCGCAACACGCATTCCACGAGAATGAAACGGTGTTCAATACCTTTCGGTTCTACAGTACTGTGGACTTGGCTTAGTCCACGCGACTTCAACTAAAGAAGTTAAAAGTTGCCGGATTGTTTCCCCTGGTCGATGACATCATTATCCCCTTATTCATCGACCAGAGTTGGGTTGAATGACCTCAGTTGGAATACGGAACAGTCCTGGATCACTCTATCAACGTCAAGTGTTGACGCACGCGTGACTGGAGAAATGATCCATTATCAATTTGTGTACGTATGATAATATTACAACACAAGCAATTATCACTAAACAACATTGAATTCATACACGAGTCATTCCACATTGCACGTCAATCACCATCAAAGCAGATGAGTGAGCTTCAAGATGGGATTCTAAGCCACGCCACCAGTGCTGGAAACACCGGAATTACCATAGAGTACTTCTTCAGGCAGGTCGTCCTCATCGGGACCTTCGTTGTAGGCGTTCCGTGTCGATGGCTTCGCATGACGCAGGCGGCTTCCCTGCAGGATGTTGGATTGATCAATGGCCTCCTTTTCGTCTTGGGCTGCAGGGTAAGAGAGTCTAACGTTAGCACCCATTTGTCTTAAATCAAAAAAGAAGGGAGGCCTACCGAGCTGCTGGTCCGAGTTAGAGAAAGGAGGCTGCATGGGGTCTTCATAACTGTCCTCGTCCTTCTGCACAGGAATGTGTCCCCGTAGGCCTGACCGGGTCTCATGGGCATAGGAGTTGTCATAGACAGTGCCCGAGACAGGGGAGGCGTCGTTGTCAGCCTCGTAGCGGTCTTCAGCTTCTCTTTCGTAACGGTTCGACATGTTGAACGAGATGGGAGCAACGTTATGAGTCGTAGAGCAATTGAGCAGGATCCTTTAGTACAAGAATGTTATGTCCGGCACAAGGATATATCGAGATTGATGGAGTGTGGATGGATAAGAATTGCTTTGGGGAATTCTGGGCACCCTTATAAGCTCGTCCATGGACTGCCATCTCATGGTCCTGATGCAATGTTGATGTCAAAAATATGTCTAATGAAATCGATAAACTGATCGAAGGGTTCACACCCAGATAGAGTTCAGATAAGGTTTCGAAGATGTCATCAGGAGGTTGTGATCCTTGTCCAGTATATTTGTTGCCTGTGGACGGTGGATGCCTTCTAGAATGTTTAGTCTTCTACGTCAGGGTAGTCGATTGCTACGTACTCCGTAGAACGAGTCCAGATCCGATCCGAGGATCGAAGTTTTACTCAGCGTTTCGTGTCGATAAGCGGCGCCTTGAAACTTCCTGTTGCTGCTGCTTCTGCTGCTGCTCTTTCGGCTCGACTCCTGCTGCTTGCCTTCCAGGTTGATGTCGTGAGAAAGCAGAAAACGATGGCCATGGAACAAGACAATGATCATTTCCCGACATTTGTCAGCGCATTTGTTCCAAACGGATATATGGACCAAACTCGGAAGGATAGAATCGTGGTTCAGTTCGATCACGACGTAGCCAGATGACATCGAACTGACTCAAGCTGAGGTCATTTGCCACGGGCTGGGCTGGTCGGCACACCTACAGTGAAAGCGGCCAGCCAACATTGCCCCTGCATCACCACATTCATCAATGATGTAGTTTGATGTTAGACCGTATGATAGATAGATAGTTGTTCTTCGAGCTCGATGAGGCATGATGCTTGAATCTTACCTAAGCTGCTGTTGCTGTTGGTGCTGCTGTTGGTGGTGCTGCTGCTGACTGTCATTGTTGCAATTGCAGGCCTCCCGATCGCAAAACCCCTTTCAACCAGATTCGTATCACTGACTTCGAACACGATGTCTAACTCCTCTGTTGATCATCCATCCTCCCTCACGCCACAGCAAATGTCCGAGGGAGAGCTTGTCAATGAGCTATGCAGCACAGGAAATTCGCCAAGGGATTGGGCGCCGATTCCAGCAGATAGACTATCAATCTGTGCAAAGTCCGTTGCGGTGATGAACAAACTGTTAAGAACACCAGACCGAGCAACTTAGCTGGGAAAGAAGCAAGGTCACCGCTGGACAATCTAGCGGTCAAAAGGTATGTGTTTGATGTCTAGCTTGAATTTTTTGCTCGAACAGGCAGACAGAAGAAGAAGTAAGAAGGAGTAAGTTCAATAATAGCGGAGGTGAAGAGGCGAAGGGCTTCTTCCAAGCGCTTTCCCCATTCCGCCCCGGCGTCGATTTGTTGTCCGCACTATCTCTCTTCCCAGGGGCAAATTTTGCGCGCATAGAAACGCCTGCCTGCGGAGCAAAAGACTGATTTGTACTCCCTTGGAGCTTTCAGAACAACAGGCGTCAACAGTGGTGGATCATCCGCATGATCAAACCAGATCAGACCAGGTCAGACCGAGTTTTCCCTTCGGTTGACAAACAGTCATCTGATTTGATATCGACCCATGCTCCGGTCTCATCGCCTACACGGTTTACCGCTGTGTATCACTGAGTATGATCGTCTCATGCTACTGTGGGACTCAGCAGCAACTTCACTGATTTGCATGATTTGATCATCATCAACTGCATCAACTCTATCCTCCGGGCTACCACCTTCCTTCGTGCATTCTTACTAGTAGGGGTTGAGCAGCAGCTTGATGTCTTTTGAGTAAGTAAGTCAAACTGGATGCTGCAGTGCGAGGAAGGCTCGAGCCCGGCATTAATATTCCGACCTGTTATCTGTCTGGAGCCCCGATGGACCGGCTACCGTCTACGTGGGTCCCTATCCCTCCCAACTTACCCTACTGGTCAGATAATGCCTTGACCGAAGACGCTTACTTTGGCAACGTCGTTAGTACTCCTGCCACCGTGGTTAGGATTCTGGGGTCGAAAAGGGGAGGGGAAGTTGCTTGTTTAGTCGATCCGAGCGAAGTGCACCAATTTATTGTCATACCACATGGTTGTTGGCGACCCTCCTCGTCTCGTAATATCATGCTGGCTGGTGTCCCAGGTCCCCGAATGGAGGAGACCGACTGGTTGGATTAAAAGGCGCACACATCGACTCTTCTCCTTCCCGACCCTCATGCATTCAGCCTACACCTGTCAGAACTCCTAGTTGACGAAAACCCGTTCAGCTTTTCCTCGGTTCACTGAGTCCCGATTCGACCATTGCGCCGCTATCGATATCCTGGTGGATGTTGTTGAACTGTCAACCTCGACTCTTCTGACGGCCTGACTAGCGGTCAACAAGCTTCGTTTATTGTATTACATACTTGGTAATGTTTCGCAAAGTACTCCATAGAGTTTGGTTATTTTCAAACCGAAGCACAAGACAGCGAAAGTTCTCTTCACACTTGGACATTATTATTAGTTAGTCCAACCTTCGCACAGCTGCCTACTTACATAAGCGTAGACTTCTTCCCTCTTCGCCTTCGCTGAACAAGTCCATCCCGTCCTTACTGGGGGGTCCAAACAGTGTTGTTTGGAAGGATGTAGGAATATTCGGTGGTGAGCTAGTCAATAGGAAACTATCCATTCTCCCCTTGACCGTATCGGAGTACGGCTCCTCCTTTTCCCGAATTGAATCAATACGGCCCGTACTGTGTGCTTCTTGCAGTAATACGGATCGGCGCCAGCCAGCCCTGACTGACTACGCAGCCACCTGGAGCAAAATATCCTCTCAATGTTGTTATAGAAGAATAAACCAGATGCTATCTATCCACCTTCAACTCCTCAAATGACAAATCTGCAGGCAAACAGACACACACATACAGACAGACCAAATGGCAGTTGGCCACTCGTGCAGCAGCTGAGCAGGAGCTAAGGTACGGGAGGAAAACCCCCCCTCACATCCGTCATCCCGGACCGAACTCCCCAGATGCACCCCTAGCTACGAGCGGGAGGACTGGAGGGAAAAGGAAAAGGAAAGGGGGGGGGGGGGTTGAGGGGGAACAAGAAGGGAAAAAGCAAACACGCAGCGTATCTGCAGTCGACTTTCCGATCCCGATCTATAGCATACACGAGAGCCACTACTTAATCCACCTAGTATCCTATCCGAAATATTAATGTCATCGACTTGCCACTGGCTACATTCCTGTATAACTGAACCATTGATTGTCATATAGGAGAAGAATCACAAATCGACGGTAATGGAAAACAGGCTGATCGATTCCTGCTCCATGCCAAAGACCAGAGTTGTTTAGCTTGCCTAGCACGGTTTAGATTGCGGGACTACTCCGTACTGTGTGGGAAACTAAAGACAAGATGACCTGAACTCCATCGGGGGTTGATCCCCACACCCAGCGGGACTGCAAGTGCTGCTCCTGTGGGTCGTGCCTGGTGCTGGTTCTGTCGGTTCTTGTGTGCGCGTTGAATATGCACAGTACGGATAAGAGCGGATATGGAAGTATTGTACTCCGTACCAGACAACCAATATCAAGATGGAGCCCTCGGTTGTCTCTTCAGTTGACTTTCTGAAACTTCGATTGGCTGCAAAAATTCCCTCGTACAACGAGTAAATAAAACGAGGCTTAATGGACTCTGTCGTCAAGTGGGTGGTATCTAGTTGAGCTACCTACTACCTTACTAAGTTATTTAACTTAGTTACTCCTAACTATCTGATGAACAACCAGTCCTCAGAGCTTACATAATTCAACCCATCGACCTAACTTAAGTCAACTTAAACTAGTAAAGTAAGTTAATTCACCTAAGGTGCCTCTCAAAACTCCTGTCTGGTCAAAGCGCTACATTCCGGCCATTCAAGATGAGCTTGGCTGAGCGATCATTCATGCCTAGCCGGACAATCAGTGACCAGTCGTTTTGGCTGGGTTGCTGCTAGGTTTAACCCCTCTCTCATTTGATCTTCAAATTCAAATGCTCATCGCTTTTGTGCCCTGCTCTGTCTGCGCTGTCAACTCTGGTTGAGCAAGGTAACCGGCTATGGACAGGTGAAATGAAAAAAGGAATGGGCTACATTGTACGGAGTAGTCCCGGACATATGACTAGGGGTAACTACCTCGCGGAAGGTTGTTATCAGCCGGCTTCTCCGCAAATAAACGCATGGAATACTAGATTGGCTGCTGCATGGTTGGCATCATGATACCTACATTAATAACAATGGCCACCCGCAATCTGTACTGGCGTTACTTCTTCCTCTTACCTGAACCAGAGGCTACTACGGAGTACTTCTCTGCTGTCTCTGTGTCATCGCGAGTCAAGGGCCCGGAGTGGCCGTCAACGAGGAGACCTCACGTCATTTCGCCCAGCCCTGAGTAAACATGTCGGGGTCCAAGTGTATAGTAAATGCGTTTTATACCTAACTTAAGACCCAAGCTGCTGCTACTGATGTTCACTCTTGCCAATATGTGCCACCCATGACGGTGCTCGGCGGTGCAATGACCCCCAAATGACACAAGAGGTTCTCTTGACCCAGCATCCTATCGTAGCTTGTTTTCCAAGAGGATGCTAGAATGAGACCGTGTCGGACGTTAATCATATCTAGCGGTCGGGGTTCGATTGCTGACGGCCTCCTTCCATCCTGCTTTTGTGATATCTGCTGACCATCGCAGGCCTAGTGATGGCTGAGAGTTGTCTCCGATTGAGGAGTAAGAAACTCCTAGTCGAATCAGAGGCTAGAGGTGCAGACGAGGATTACGGCCCTGGGAATAAACACGCCAGAGCTCAAGAACTCTCGAGTAAAATAGACTCTAGTCCCCTTCGACCCACATGAAGAAATGCACCTAGAAGGAACCAGCAAGTCCAGCTATGGATGCTGTGACGGATGCTCATCTAAGATCTTTTGCAGCATCTTGTTCAACGATTGTCAACCGTGTCGATTAGGTTTCATAACAGACGAGCTGCGTTGCAGGGACAGA